GTAGAGCCTGAAGAACATCGCTATCCTGACTGCAGCTGCTTTAATAAAAACTTCAAAGACGCCACAGTACAAAAGTGCAGAACTGCTTTTGGCCCAGCTCAGGCCAGTGCTGATGAAACACCCTCTGGAATATTTTGGAAAGGTCACCTTTTGGTGAAGAGTCCTGCTTCTCCCAGGGAGAGTGTGTGGAGTACTGCTGAAACTGGCTGATTGTGGTGGAGAGCCTTACAACCCTCATCTGCTGCTGTTCTCTGTTTTTGATCACTCTGCATGCAGCTTGATTCATAGCCAGTGCCTTCCTCATATCCTCTCCTCCCCTTGGCTGCCATTCGAATGCTGGAGACTTGATTAATTTGGTTCTTTCTATTTGTGACATTAAAAATGTAGCTGCACACATCCATGCACAGGATTTGGGAAATATCATATGGCTTGCTGGAACCTGCCCAGAACTGAGAGCAGTGATGTCCCAAGATCTAAGTTCAGTTTTATTTGCTGCAGAGATTTTTGTGTGTTACAGCATGTCCCTGGGTGGGGTTTCAGTGTAGAAAGTCATGTTAAAAAGGACTGACTGTCTCACAAGGGTGCTGTTAGAGTAAACAAGTCGAAGGATTCAAAAGTTTACAGAAGTCGGAATAACGTTAATTTAATACCTAGAAAAGACAGATAGGTCATGTCTGCACTTCAGATAATTCTCCCTAATATAGGAACTCCATTGTCTTCCTGTGATGGAAAATAACATCACTTGTAGTTTTTCATGAAAAGCAGCAGAAGGAAGTAACTTTCACAGAGAAACAGACGTGAGGCAGTCCCAAACTGGCGCAGTGGCACATCCTGCATCTCTTCCATGCACCTTGGCTGGTGCTCCTCCTTCTTTATCCGTGTGGAATTGCAGCTGAAATTTAAACGGTGGGAACTTCCACATAACCTCAGTGTTCACTCGAAGTGTGGAAAAAATTGCAAAAATAGTGTTTTCGTGTTTGTCACAAGTGAGTGAGTGAGTGAGTGAGTGAGTGAGTGAGTGAGTGAGTGAGTGAGTAAGTGAAGGGAAGGCAGGAGGGCTATGAGTGTCACCAAAACTGCAGGAAAACAAAAACCCTCCAACAACATTTTTAGTGTTAGAGAATCAAGGCATATGCTTTATTTCTGGCCAGGATGTTGTTCTGCCCATGACGTGCAACAGAAATAATTTCATCCTCACGTAGGCCGGGTGTGCAGAGAAAATCATTCCATGCCACACGTATTTTATGAGATTTTTCACAAACTTTATACTGTCAAAACCCATAGATATTCATTGGTTTAATGTTCATTGGTTCCAAGTTATGTAGTTCTTAAGTATTTGGTTTCCTATTGCTTACAGATATTTTCATCTCTGGTGCTAATTAGGTCCTTATTCTTCTCTCTCCTTTTCCAGACCGGGGTGTTGTTTGGAGTTGATAGTCTATTAATGGCCCTTGATGGCCGCTGCTGGCTGTTACCTTTGGTGTATCTTCTGTTCTGCTCCCAGTCTGTTGAGATTTTAAGAGCAGATTTAGGCCACCAGAACTTGACGTGGTGGAACAGTGCCCTTAAGGAAAGAGGAAAGAAACCCTAATTTCCTTCCCCCCGGGGCAAAGGTGAACATATGATGGACTAGATGATATCAAAGGTCTATTCCAACCTAGTTCATTCTGTGATTCTGTGAAAACTGACTAAAGTTATAAAATAATAAAAAAAATTATAATTAGGATATTTTCCAACGTGAGGTACAGCCTCTTGAAAGAGGAAGATGAGACATTTCACTGAAAATGTCAGCTGAAGGACTATCATGGATAAAAGACTGCTGAAGAGGAAAATGGACAGATAATTTTATAATCTGCTAGGTCAGGATAGGCCAGGAAATAAGTAAACTGGGTGCAGCAGAGGACTCTGAGAGCTGAACATTGAGGGGCAAGTATTTGGTGACACTGACAGTAATAGGAAGGCCGGGAAAAATGAAGAAGTTTTCTCACTGGAGAGGTTGAAATCAGCAGAGGAAAAATGCCTGCTGGGTAGGTGCTTCAAATTCATAATGGGGCTTTGGGTCATTCATGTATTTTTACCTAGTAGTAATAGGAAATGCAATGTGAGCAAGCGTTCTCAAGCAATATGTCCTCAGTGTAGATGAGCTACTATTTTATTCAGGAAACCAAGAACAAAAACACATGCAAGGCACTATCTTTGCAATCCAGTACAATTCTCCTGACTTTTCTACTGTCTAATTAAGCCAGTATGATACAGATCTTCATTAACCTTGCATTGTTTTCCCAAATGGCAATAAGAACAGTTTGCTTGCTGTTTTCTTTTTCAACCCATATTTAGATACAGAGTCTATATTTAGGTATCAGCTATAGAACTGATTTGTAACCATTCCTGGAGTGCTGATTCTGTTTTGGCAGGAGCTGAGGTACTCAGCAGTGCCGGTGATTGATTCTGGGAGGCCAGCTGGACAACTTGGCTGGATGTGGACCCTGCTCATGCAGCATCATCAGGGTTTAAATCACAAGAATCAGTGTACTTACTTGATTTCAGAAATACCTGGGAAAAAAACCCAAAAAACAAAGGTTCTTTGAGAGCTATTCAGACTACATTCAGCTGCACACAGACAGATTAGCTTTCAGAATCAGGTGTCCAATTGCCCATTGAATTTCTAGGAAACAGCAAGGCTGACTTTCTAGAGAGCCCATATTAAGCATTTTAGAAAACAAATTTCAGCAACTAAATTCACTGTCAGAGATGACATGATAAGAATGGTCCAGTTATGTTGAATCACTTTGTATCTCCACACAAACACAGCTTTATTGCCATATACCTAAACTCTGCATTAAACCAAAGGCAGTATTCATTTTAAAAAATCAAATTTTGAACTGTTATGCTGTAGGAAATCTGGGATAATTCTGCTTAAATCAGTGGAACAGAACTGAACAGATTTACAGCCTGGCAAAATTTACTCCTAAATCTAAGTGGAACTAATCTATACACATTATTAGTTGCTCGGAGTATGCCAGACAGCTAGATTTATAGAAACAAAGATGGAAATTGAAGCAGGAAAACACTCCATTAATGTCTGATGTAAAGGAACTTTAAAGATGGGTGTATAGTTACAGGATGACCATTAGTACGTTTTATGCCTAAGTCTCTCATATTTGAAAAGTTTAGGATATTTTAAAGTCGAGTAGCCCCTGTGTTCATAGAGTAGAATTCCCTCAGGATGTGAATGGTCAATCAGTGTGTATGTACAGCCCTGGACAGACAGAGAGCCAAAGCAGTAATTCAAACTTCTGAACATTGCAATAATTCAAATAATAAACGGGTTGAAGCAGAGTGTCACTTTCAAACTGCTTTAGTGCAGATGGTCTTTTTCTTAATTCCCAGCCCCGTCGTTAGTGAGCTGAGCTTATTGAACTGCTTGCCAATTCTGTTAAGAGCAGATGGAGTGAAACGGGATAAAGGCAATATTTCAGTGCAGTTCCCATGCATCAGCTCCCCTCCAGATGCCATTATCGACATGCATTTTACAGCTCCACAGCTCTTGCCATCAGTGGGTAGAATTATAAAAAGGTTGAGCATACTTGGCTTGAATGTCAATAATCAATAAGGATGCTCATCTGGCTTAATAAGGATAAATTGTTGCCCTTGAAACAGCACACCATTCCAGCAGTCAGAGTGAACTAAGGTGACTTCCTTGACATTTATACTAATTCCGAGTGTTTGTGCCACCCTGTGTGTGCGTACACAAAGATTTATGTTATGTATTTCTCTGACTGTTCCTTAACACTATAGATTCTCTTGTGTATGTCCTGCAATAATGTATTAAATTAATAATCTTGAGTGCTTCCCCTTAAAAGCTCATTTCTTCCACATCAGGCAAGCTTTTTTTATTTTAAAGACTTTAATTACAAACTCTGTCTTTCTAAAGGGGTCCCAGTTTCCCTTTCTAAAGCCTGCTGACAGAACATGATAGGTGGTATTTTCAGAGGTTCCTGCTGTGTGTGGACCATCATTGCCTCTAAAGCTTGTGATTAAATTCTGCCCAGCTTTGGTGAGGGTAGATAGGCCTCAGTGCAACAGAACTAAATTAGTTCTAAGTGCTTAAGAAATGATCCTACTCCTATGGGAAGCAGCTATTACATTTATAGAAAGCATGAATGTTTCGTTTATACAAAAATATGTAATACATAAGCACAGCTAACATCATGATCAGTGGTTCTGTGGAGACTTCATTTTTGTTAATAGAACATTTAGTCAAATATTGTTCTTTCTCAGAGGGTTTTTAAAACAACAATCCTTGGTTGTCACCAACATTTCTGGTCTATTATTGCCAACAGTCTTTGGTGGGCTCCATGGCCATCCAGCTATCAGTGTTTGAGACATACACATTACCCTCATCTTCTGGGAATTGAGAGCTCAAAAAGGATCTCACTTTGAACTCTTATTTTGAGGGTCACAAACAAGTGTGCTGTAGTTATGGTAATCTCCCACCCTGGGCACAATTCAAATTGGTAGCCTTTTTTGAAAGTTCAACAAGAAAAATATTATTTCACTTGGGTTGTTATTCAGACAAGAAAAATAAGTTTCCAAGGCTGTTAGTGAAAAAACAAATGCTTGTTAGATAGTAGAGTTTCTGGAAACACAGTTTCTCTGATATGCTCAACAGGGGCTTAGTCCAGGTGCAGCTCATCAAGGCCAAGGCTTAATGAGCATTTCTCAGCTCTGCACCCAGGGAGGAGGGAGAGATGCACCACCACAATACTCCCCACGAGTGAAGTCAGTTTCTCTGGGTCTCTGCACCACTGAGTGCAGGAATGATCCCTCTCCAGGGTGGGAGCTGGGTGTGTCAGTCATGCTGAGCTCCACAGTGCAAGTGCAGTGTCCCCAAAACACAAAGCTGTGTAGCACTGTCTGTGGGCTGGAACTAGATATCCATGTTTTAATGTTTGCTCCTGTAATTTTTAACGTTCTGTTTCTTTCCCTTTCTTTGGCAGATTTTTATTGGTGAGATATCCATGTATTTCATAAAGTCAACCCGAGAAACCCTCATTATTCAAGAGAAAACTATTTTGACTGGAGAGTGCTGTTACCTGAACCCACTACTTCGAAGAATAATACGTTTTATAGGTAAGCATTCTGTGCACTGCAAGCTTGGACCCTGCTTGCACCAGAACAAAACACCCTGACAAAGTACATCACAAAATTAATTTAGCTGTGAAATCTTTGCAGGCATCTTCCTCCTTAGAGGGATAGTCCCCTCAGGATTTCCAAGGTAACTTTCAAAATTTGCCATATCATGCTGGCTGGAGTGGGTTTAGATCATATTCTGCTGAGCTTAATGCTTTTTTGAGACCCTTAAAGAAAGGTTTTACCAATGAAATCCTTTGTGAATAAATCCATCATTGCTAGTTTATGCGAGCTACCCATTTTAGTTACAAATTTGTCCTCACCAGCTCATCTATCTGGCACTTTTTTTTCAGCTCTAATTTTAACATCCATAGCTCTGCCACATAATGTTCAGCTGTGCACAGCGTAAAATAGCCCAGAGCTCACTTCAAAATAATATTATTTTCTTTGTATTTGCTTTTTCTTAGAGCTTTCATTGAGCTAATTGCTGAGAAATGAAGTTCTGTCATTAAACCATTAGGAGGTTGCTTTTTATGGTGCTTGCAAATCGCTTTACCTTCTTCACACTATTGATGAGTCCCAAGTTCATGTGTGGGATGGGATGCCTGGCTGATGGCATGGGCCAGTGGCTCATCAGATGGCTCCCCACTGGCCAAGAGGGGCTTTGCCATCACAGCACTGCCTTGTGCTCTCTCAGAAGTGAAGCACCCTCACTGCCTCTCACAGAGAGCTGAGCCCCAGTTAATGGTATGACTTAAAGCAAGCAGTGGGAGGAAAAGATACTTCCAGCTGGAAGTATCTGGAGGGCACTTCTTCCCCATCACTGCTGAATTCCTGAGCTTTACCTGGAATGAAAATGTCTGTTGTGGCTGTGCCAGGTGTTGTATTGCTTCCATGGAGCACATCCCTGACTGTAAGTAGGGATACTTCCTCAGAGCAAAGAGTTGAAGGTGCTAGCATTTTCATCAGCAGCAAATGTATGCTGCAAAGCAGGAAGAGTCATGGTTTTCTTTTTCCTTCTGCTCTCTCTGTGCCTCCTGTTTATGCATGGAAGGTAGGGAGTGAAATGTGCCTTCTGCCACCATGGAGATGGAAACAAGCCACCAGTGTTTTGTTACTTGGGCCTGGTCTGCATGCTGCTAGCAGGAACAGAAAGACATCAAAATGCAGTCATAAGTAAAACACCCCTGAACATCACATAACCTCTGGGATATATTGATGGATAGCAAACTGCCAATAAAAGAGAAGCAGGGTGCCAGTGTCCACTGGGCCACTCAGGGCTTTTTGACCATTCCAGCACATTTGGCATATTGCAAAGTCCCAATCAAACACTCTTGCCTGTGGGGTCAGCACTAGAAGTCCTTTATATCATGGAGACTAAGTTTTTGCTCAGTATATTTTCTTACAGTTAGCTTTATTCTTAAACATTCATGCTGTTGTTTCTTTTCTGGTGGAAGAGAAGGGGGTAGCATGATACAGTGGACTCTCAGAGAGTAGTAGGACATAAACCATGCTAGGGAAATGAATCTTGGCTTTGCAGCTGTGTTTGTTTTCCTGAGAAAAATCAGGTTAATATTATTAGAAAAGGCTTGAAGTCTTTGCCTTGTCTTAAACTACACTGTGTGCTTTTCTTCTGAAACCTTTTCCTGCCTCTGCAGTGAAATGAGAGAAGTAGAATTTGTTGGATGAAATAATTTATGAAAGGAGGTGAAGATAACTGTATGTTTTTCATTTTGCTTTTCACCTGTGTTTTGAAAACTTGGCATGGACTGAGCAGCTGTACCCTGTGCCTGGATGATCCAGGGAAGTTAGCTCCATACAGCTGCCCACTCTAAAATGAAGCTTCCCAGGTGCTTGGCTGTGCAAAGACAACTGGGTTACTTGTACATGTATTTCTCTGTGTGTGCCTGCTCTTGATAAACCTTAGGGCCAAAAGTTACAGAGCTGATTAACTAGGTTATCTTGCAAGTAAGCTCTCTTCCCTAACAAGCAGTCTGGCTTGTTGAAAAAAAAAGTTTGCTGCCAATTTAGTTTGTTACCCAAATGTTTGAGTAAGTCTTAATGAGTACCTGCAAAAAGCAGTTACTTAACTCCTTGGAAAATTGCCTTATAAGACATTACAGTTTATATTATTCAAAAGGATGAGAAAAATCCTGCAATGTGTCTAGGTTCTCATGTGTCAGAAAAAATGAAAACTACTAAATGACCCTGCAAGGCACATCATGGAGAACTTTTAAAAGTTGCTGGTCCCAAATATTAGGAGTGCAAAGAGGCATTTTCTCTCCTCCCACTCAACTCTGTAATGGAAGTTACTGGGAAGAGATGGAATTTTACGAATTTGTAGCCTAAATGTGCTTTCCACAAAAAAAGTAGAAGACTGTAGATACTTCACTGAACATTCATTTATATTTTACAGGGAAAGAGATGCAAAAAGGGAAACTTGAAGGCATCTTTTGGTCCTGTGAAATACAAGGACTCTTGTAATGTAATCTCTGTTGGATCTTGTGGTTGCTAGATTTGAGCTTTTCTGTTCTTACTTGACCTTCATGTATACAGAATTAAGGATTTTTTTGCACTTTGGAAGTAGAGCAAAACAAAAAACCTACAGCTGTTCTGGAATGCTAACAAAGCCCACATTTCTTCTCTGTTTTTTCCTATCTTGTTTACTGTGCCCTCTGTTGATTCTCTCCTTGTTTTGCTCAAGGTTTCAGCACATGTCTGTTTCTAAGAGCCTCCCCTCCTGAGTTTAGTTGAGACTCTGAATGTTGAGATTTGTATTAAATCTCTCCCTGAATCTTTGTCTGCATGAAGCAGTGCCACAATTTCTTCTTGCTTCCTGGCCCAGACGTGAATCCCTCATGCTGATTGACATTTGCTTTTGTGGCAAAAGACTGCCTCTCACCTTGCTGGAGTGTATATCAAGTCCTGTATTGCAGTCTAGATTGGTGAAACCTGCTATGTTCCCTATATTTAGAAAAACACTTTCTTTATCAGTGGAAAAAAGCTGTCTTAGCTTGGAAACATCAGACTTTGATGTATGCTTCAATTTTTTTCCATCTTCCTCTTTATCTTTTACAGCTGCTTTCACAGACTTTTTTTTTTAAGGTTTGAAGTCAAACTAGTGGTGTGCAATTTCTTCATAACATTTTTTTTTAATATATTGTTGCTGCACTGCTTTACTTTAGGCACATCCTCTCTCCTCCCTCCTCTCCCCACCCTTCCTAGCAGTTCTGTCATCAATTTCTGATGCCAAAACTTGCTATTTATGTGCTGAACCTTTGAGAAACTAACTGGTAAGGGTGGCTGTTTCCTGGCCTTCTGCCTCTTTGCCCTGTCTCCCAGCTTGAGCATACACAGCCTTTTGTGTATTTATTCAATCTTTCTTGTAATTTCACATTCAGTACTTTGTTAACATCATTGCACCTTGCATTTGCTTCTGTGTTCTACTTAATGCTTTGTATTGCAAGTAGAGGTAATAAAATATTTTAGCGAATAGTTTCAGTCAAGGTTTTAGTCATTTTATGTACAGCTGCTATCATACCCCCGGGATCAGGGATTCAGACCTCCCTGACCCAGTCTAACAGAGTGACTGTGGTGTGTATTGTGCTGCATATCATTATGTTAGGTTTCTAATCCACGTGATTAAGTTGTGTAACTGCAAAGCCCTGATAACATGCAAGTAGCCCCTTTCTAGTTCAGATATCTAGAAATTCAGCACACTTCATCAGCTTGTTACCAAGTGGCTTTTACTTCCGATGCACATAATTTGTCGTTAACAAATGGTGCAGATCAGCTTCTGTTGACAACTTAATCTAAAGCATGGTGACACTTCACAGTGGGCAGCTAAATAATTAAATTAGGGCTTTATTTCAGCAAATTAAGATTTTATTTCAGCAAATAAAGGTTTACAAGACTTATACACACATTGAGTTTATTGTAACAGGATAGCTATACCCCAGAGCTCTGATGTCAATTCCCTGAGCAGCTGCACAAGACAGCTTACCTGACCTTGTCCTTCTGTCTGCCTTGCATCTGAAGTTCACTGTGAAACAGTGCATGTTCTGTTATTAACTGGCTGCTTTTCCATTGGGCTCAAGCTGTATTTGGGAGTATTGCCCCAAACCTAAACTGCTGTGGCAGCTTGAACTACTGTAGATGTTATCCCTGAAGAATCTCCACAATGAGGAACAGGTCACTGTGCTGGGGATACATCAGACCATACTGTTCTCTTCGATGCTAGGCTCTGAGCTGGCAGCTGCCTCCATGAAAACTGGTGGCTGTGAAAGCAGTGAGGAAGGAAGATAGCCTGTGCATCTGTCAGGAGGAGTCTTGAGCCACCAGAGGACTTTTGCACTGGGAACCAAATTTCTTCTGGCATGGTCGGACTCAGGAGGCAGTACATTCCTGGAGTAGTTAGCTTTATGGGGTTTTCAGTAGAAGAACATAGCCAGTCTTAGAATGAGGTTATGAGTGCTCAGAAGCTTGATTTTGAGCCTGTTCCTGATGCCATGGCAACAGGACAATAAATTCCCCTGCAACCCTCATCTCTCCTGTTGTAAAATGGATTAATGATACAGGTGTCTTTTAACACACCCTTTAAGATGAAATGAAGGGTAGTTTAGCAGAGTCTGAGTCACAGGACTACAAATGTATGGCTTTATTGGATGCACAGGATTCCTACAGCAAAACATTCAAAAATGGGCTGAGGATCAGCATTCCCATAAAGCCCTGAGTCCTTCCAGGGACACTCTGCAATGAAGCTCTAATCTTCCTTTAAAAACAGAGGGGTGGGAAAGGGGTTAGGTGAGTATGAGTGTGCATGTGAAATATGAACACTTTACCAGCAAGTTAGGTTAAGAGTGACAAATTCAGATAATTGGGCTAGAGAGGGGTGCATTAATAAATTGCCTTGGTAGAAAACATGATGATATGTTACTGAGAAGCTGAGCTTCTGATGTCTCAGGAACACTTCAGTGCATTGTTTCTTTTGTCATTTTATTTAAGGGTTTCATGATTTTTCCGGAATAAAGCCTTCTACTTCCTGATTTTCATTTCCACCCACTGTCTTCTCACTTGCCTCTTCCCAGTGTCTTTTCAGCTGTTCTTCTACAAGTCCCAAGGGGGGCTTTGTTGATTTTTGTTGTGGTGGTGATTTGGTCTTTTTTTTCAAATCAGTGGCATTTTAAATGCCTCTAATAGCAAGAGTTTCCACGGAGATAACAAGCAGCTGAAGTAACTGATGTTACATAGATTCAGGGTGGAAGAAGAGAGCTTAAACATGAATTGCAGGGAGGACAGAGGGTTCTATTGAGGCTACAGTGAGTGAGAAGAGCTGGATTCTTCTTCAGGGCAGATGCCACTGTTAGAAAAAGCCATAGAGCTGAAGGTGGCAACACTGATGAACTGTCACAGAAGGAGCTTGATAGGAGATGGAACATGAGAATAGGATGTGGGTCAGAGCCCAGAAGTCAGGGGTTCATTAAAGACTTTCTGACAGTTACTTAGAGGGATGTGTAAGTGGAGAAATTAAAAATGAAGCATTCAGAATTGAAGCTGCTAAATACTTAGACTTTTCTGTCAAGGCAGCTATTAGTTCAGGAGTTCAAGTGAAATGACGCAGGAAAGTCAAGCTTCACTTCGTCCATCCCCAGGATTTTTTAACAGGACTTTTCTTGTTGTTTTTTTGTTTATTTGTTTGTTTGGGTTTTTTTTTTTGGTTTTTTTTTTTTGACTTCAACATTTAATTTGTCTAGGGTTTTTCTCACTGGAGGTAAAGATATGTTAAAATCTGATCTCTGTTTTCTTGGACTCTGGAGCAGCTGAGAGAGTAGCAGGGAATACAGCCCTCTTATGTCTGGTCTAAGCTAGTATCTCTCCCAGTTACATTCTGCGTATTGTTTTGTCTTCTAGACACCTCTTTCTGGCTGCTCGTGAGACACAAGCACAGCTGTGTCTCAGTTCAATGAGAAGAAGTCAGGAAAACTTTCCAGACATAGCTTCCTGCTTCTTCTTTAAGGCCTCTTTGCAGCCAGACTATGTGACATGAGTGGCTGAGGGGAAAGATTGGCTTTATGTAATTGCAATTACCCTTCATCCTTTCTACTAGTGAGCAGCTGTAGGTCTGCTTCCTGTGTGGCTTGCACTGTTCCCATCTTTTCTCAGTATATGCTGAGTTCTGCCATACAGTTCATTCCCAGGTTTTCTGGCCCAGAGTGAGCACGCTGAAACAAAGCACTTGCTGCTGAGCAGGATGACACCACCTCCCATTACACCTGAGTGTCAAGGTCTGGAAGAGGCACATCTTCTCCGATTCTTTCTCTCTGACATTACATCATGGACGTGAGCTGTATGATCATGAAGAGCTGGGGCTAGTTGCCCTTCCCTTGAAGCCTTTCAGGGCAATTTGTCTGCCTCTAAAAAGCTGGCAATCACATCACTGTGTTTTTGTGCTCTGGTCAGTTAGTTTAGCTGCTGTAGGTCATTGAACAAATCAATTGAACAGATGGATTCCTGAGGTACAAAAACCATCAGGGGACTGTCCAGCGCTGCCCAGGCACGCTGGCATTACAGCCTTTAAATCAATTACAGCCAGCCCTTGCTCCAAGTCTCCAGAGATCTGAGGTGTGATCAGCCTGCAAGGGTCACATCCCTGCCAGTCAGACTCATTGCTGCTGTAATTTTCACAGAGCACAGCTTGGCAGAACTGTGAGAGACAAAATGCAGCACAGTCAGAATGTGACAAAGGTTTCAGCCATGGCTTGCTCTGCTCTTCTCCAGATTACTGCAGGCCTCGGCAGCTGTGTTTGAGCCACCACTTTCTGTATCAAATATTAAGAAAATGCAAGTGTTAAAACTTATTTTCTTAATGGAGAGAAGTACCTTTGTATATATGCACTTCCTAGAGATTGTAATAGTTTTGTGTAGCTCATGAACTTTTCCTGAAATATCTTGGTTCTTGGCTTGTACTTGCACAATAAAGAGCATGAGCCAGACTGCCTGACACTTAAATTTCCTCTAATTATTGTAAAGGCTGGGTAATAATCCTCCCTGCACTCCCTGTAATTTGCACAGCACATCAGAAAGCTGCTATTTAAAGCAAGCTGTGCCAAAAAAAATTAAAATTTTGACAGAGTGCTGTATATAAAACAAGATTCCTCTCTGTCATAACTTTGGCTGTTTCACCAGGCTGAAAAGATACCCTTCTGCTTTTTTCCTTTGAACTTTCTTGTGCACTGACTAATGTAGGTGAGAATTTCCTGATGGCTGTGGAAACCCTGGATTTGAAATATTACCAGAGGGATAAAGGAAATAAAAGAGCAGTCTCTGTGCTCTTCTTTTAAACACATTTAGCAAGATAAATGGGAGGAAAACTGTCACATCATTGAAAAGACAGGGGCTAGTCCTAATGGTTTTTCTCTTCAAGCCCGGTCTTATAAGCTCTCAGAGATAAGCATTATACCCTCGATAGCTCAGCTAGCTCAGGTGGCATAAAAGAAGCAGGATGGCTCCTGTGACAGTGCTGGAAACAAAAAGTTTTATTAAAAGGCAAAAATAAAAAAGCTCTTTACAGAGAAAAACCAAGTCAGGGCAAAAGGTTCTTGCCCCTGCTAAAACACTTCACAAAAGTTATTTACTTCTTTTTTTCTCTTCTTTTTCTAGGGAATTGCTTAGGTGGAACTTTTTGGCTCCTGTCCAATTAGCTGTCCTTAAGTTTGAGGTGAAGTCCCCAAGGTTGTATGAGGTGTCTTTTAACCAAATTGAGGAGAGGAACTTCTGGGCTTTTTTTCCTTTTTAAGGGGACAAGAGTAACTTGTTTACTCCGTCAACGGGGGGCGCATTTCTACACAGTCCTGCAGCCTAAAACCAGAAGAAAGCACTCTCCTTCTTTGGCCACCACCGGCTTTTTAAATCCATTATCACATACCAGTTCATTAATAATAAATAAAAATAAACATACATGAAGAATAGGAATACATTCAGCCTCCATAATCACATTACTGTGTGATTCTCCTTGCTGACCTTGGGGAAGGATGGTGAGGAGGAGCAGCTCTGCAGCCCTGCAGCCCCTCCAGGCTGTTTCCCAAGGGAAGGGCTCTTCCCATCAATTCCTCAACGAGGGATCTGTGCCACAGTGACACCAAACCATCTCTCTAACCCACTGGCCCAGGCAAACCCCCCTCAACACTTGTACCACATATCCATTTTACTTACAGTTTTATTTTTTGTTAGTGCCCGTACATGCTGCATTATTTTGAGTCTCTCATATTTTTTGTGTCTCAAACTAGAACAGCCTTTTAATCTGTTTTTAACTCAGTATAGATAAGCAGTGAAGATGTAACAATCACAGTGGTGCCAGCTCTTAAGATTTTATCACAGCTTTCCTAAGATGATTTCCCTCGAGCTCCAGCTCTTGGTCATGTTTAAAAACATAACAATCTCAGATAATTTATAATTTAATGACTTTTGCTTACAGAGCTACAGAAGGGAGAAAGCAAAACTGCATGACCCTCCATATTCCTACATCAGAAGCCAGTATATATTTGTTCTATGTTTTTGTGACACTTTAATCAACCTTAGTAATGAGAAGGGGAACAGGAGAGCTGATTTAATCTTTCAGAACATTTAGGTTTGGTAATTTTGCAAACCTGCTGTTCTGTACCTTTGGTATGTAGCCATTACATGCATCTAAATGATCTTCAAATATTCATAGCACTTGTTACAGGTATTGATAACAGTCAAGGGGAGTCAGTAAAGGATGTGAAAACTGCAGTTTTGATCAAGAGATGCTTCACAACGCTGGAAAAGCTTCTGCATTCAAGTGAATACTTCATCTTACAGGATTGTGGTTATGTGCTCCTGGTGACATGAGCTGAATTGCAGCTGTCTTCCAGAGCAAAGCATTGGGTTGCTTCCAAAGGTACACACCAAATATTGCTAGGACAGGATTGTAAATTTTCAACGTCAAGGTGACAAATCCAAAATCCAAAGTCCAATCCAAATCCAAAAGGCAAAATCCAAAAGGTACTTAATCCTAGGTAATTATGTTAGATAAGACAAGTATTGTGTCTTAGCACTACACTGCTCTTTCAGGTTCAGAGATCCAATTTTTTTTTTTGTCACAGATTTGTTATAAGTATTTGATACTACTCTCATTATGTCTCTCCCTCTCAGGTATAGTGTCATTTTCTAAACCTGTTAGAATAATCACTATTTTTAACCTTTCCTCACAGGAGTGTTTGCATTTGGACTTTTTGCCACTGACATCTTTGTAAATGCTGGCCAGGTTGTGACTGGGAACTTGGCTCCCTACTTCCTGACTGTGTGCAAACCCAACTACACTGGAAACGACTGTCGGGCCCACCACCAGTTCATAAACAACGGCAACATCTGCACAGGGGATGTGGCGGTGATTGAAAAGGCCAGAAGATCCTTTCCATCCAAACATGCTGCTTTGAGCATCTACTCAGCTTTATATGCCACGGTGGGTGCCAGTGATAGCTGCTGACTTGCAAGAGAAGTTTCTGTATTTTCTAAACGGGGCATTTTGCTTACAATGGATTTTTGGAGGAAAAAAGGGTTGTTTTGTTGGCAGCTTTTTCCTTTATCAGTAGGGGAAGATCCCCTTCTCTCTCCATTTTACCAATCTTTGTATGAGCAAATGAAATGCTTATTTATTTTGAGGCGCTGCATGCAGAGGCATGAGGTCCTAAACTTGTCTTCACTGCTGATTTTCTCATTCAGTTTTCTCTTCTCCCTGCCCCTGTCTCATGAGCATTAAAATGAAGCTGATCCTTAAACAGCTTCTGGGTCGCTACATTTGTTCACATGCCATGTGTTGTTGAACATTTAAAATTTAAATTCTGCCCTTTCAATAAAGGTCTGAACTTATGTTGAATTTTGCTTCAGTCGTTTAGGACCTGAACTCACATTGCAAACAAGGTTCTAATAAAAGTCAGTGCCAGAATTTTGTTGTTATCACAGAGAAATGCACCCCAGCTGACAGACTGACAAGGTGACACTGCCATGCAGACAGGAAGGAAATTATGAAGTCTGATGAAACAGATCAACTGCTCCTTTGTATTCTTGGCTAAAGTTTCTGCAATTTTTAAAACTGATCCAAGAACCTTACTAGCAAAGCAGAAAACCTTGGTGGTTTTGCCATATATATCCAAGGACTTAACCTGCTTCTGAGCTCAAAATGCATTAACCTAGGTCTTTTCTCTCCCTATAGCTTGACTTGGAGTAGTGTCAGAATCTGTCTGTTGCTTATAAGTATGCAAGAAAAGCCTTAAAGTAATTAAAGACAGGGTATTTACTGAGTATTTTGCCCCATGCTCCTGGAACCAGATAAATGAGACACCACATTATTACTTCTAAAATTAAGAGCCCACCCACTGCTGTTTCAATAACCATCTGTTTGCACTGAATGTTGTGTGAATAATGATGGAGAAATAAACTGTAACTCCTTTGATCAGGATTTGTTGGGAAATGTTTGGAAAGCCTGTAACATTTTGTGCACGTTACGTCTGAACAATGTGCAACCCTGTGTGAAATACAGCCCACAATATACTCAACATGGTTGTAGCAGCTGTTTGCACCATGATAGATTCTTAGGTGGAAGTTCCAGGGTCAGGCTTAGTCCTGGTTCTGTCCTAAGCTAATTACATCCTTTCATGGACTTTCCCTGCCCAGCCTCCTTTGTTTCCTAGGAGGGCAAATTTTCTACAACAGGCTGACTTCTACAGCTGAAGGGTAACGCTGTGTTTCTTCCTGAGCCTAAGCCCCAAGTAGTTTAGTATTTCTGAGCTTAGTTTTCCAGGAATAGCTGCTATGGCCCTGCACTTCTCGCATAGGAAGATATCAGATGGAGCCAGAACGTGGAACTCTTTCTGAGCCACAGGGTCATGAAAGTTTGCCATTAAAGCATTTCAGCCCACAGTCCAATTTCAACCCAGTTCTCTGCCTGAAGTCACCTTTTAGAACTAAAATTGTGTTTTCTTGTCTTTTCTTTGTCTGTCAGCTAGGAATAAATGAGCATTACACAAGGAATGCATTGTTCATATCCAGCTTTGCTTAATAACTGTGCTGTGCACAGATTTTTGAGAAGTCTCTTGCTGATTCTAGTATGCATAATAATGTGGCCTACTGAACATAAAACACAGGTTATTTGCTTAGTAATAGCTGTGTTTTGCGTAAAGCTGAAGAATTTAGCCATAGGAGCAAGAAAAATAGAACAGGTACAACATAAGGAGGCTGGAGAATGGAATAAGCACAGACATGGTTCTCATTTTATAATGAGATCTAGATCTTATGAGATATGTATATATCTTATAGATATATACATATCTCATAAGATATGTATATATCTTCTAGATCTTATGAGATATATATATCTTATGAGATATGAGATCTAAAAGTCTTCTCCCTTCACTGAACTTCAAATATTCTGTGCAGGTGTCTCACTTGTTCATTACTCTGCTACTGAAAACACTCCCAGTGTGACTGGTTTGGCTTTCTGGGTTTTTGGTGTTTGTTTTTGTTTTTTTATAACCTGGGGTTTATATCTAATCAACTAGAATTTTCTGTATTTACCATCTAAAGAAGCTGAGGAAAACCGAAAGCATCACTTCTCTGATCTCTGTGGGTGGAAATGAATCTTGTATGCCTAAAGTAGGGGAAAGAAAAAAGGGGTGGCAGCCCTGGCTTCCATACTTCCAAAAAAAAAAAAAAAATTGTTATCTAAAGAAGTTTTATCAGTCTCCCAGAATGATCACAAGAAGAGATGGCAGTCACTGTACCTGGTGCAAGTGGCTGTGCATTCACATGAATTTAAGTTCCTTTTCCAATTAAAAATAAATGGTTAGAAAAAGAGATCACCATTCCTGGTTGCAGTGCAAATCCAGCTGATAGGATGTCAATCCTGGTTTCAGCATCAATCCACCTGCACTGGTCCAGCCCGTGAGATGTCCAGGGTCCTGGTGGCACTGCCTGGGCTTGGGAGGACACCTCTCTATGGGCAGGTTTCCACACCCCAAAGATGAGTTTCTCACTTTCTCTGTAAATTAATTTCCATGTGCAGTCCATTCTACCAGTCTTTCTGGAATGGGGGGAGGGCTTCAGGGGTTTTGGGTAGTTTTAATCCCACCCTGTAGCCCATGTCGATTTCCTGTGCTGTGTTGTGGTTGTTTGTCACAGAAAAATGCCCTATCTCTGGCCCCCTTTTCCAGCCAAAATTTGATATTTCTCATGGCCCTGTTAATAACAACAATCCTTGGTTATTTCCAACAGACCTTGGTTGCCTCCACGTCCATCCATTTATCAGTGTTTGAGACATACACATTACCCCCTTGTCTTCTGGGAGTCAAGAGCATAAAAAAATCTCACTTTGGACTCTTTGTTTAGATGACCCCAAGAGAGTGGGAATTTTCCACTGTAGCCACAAAATCAGTCAGTAACTTCCTTTGAAGGTTTGTTTAAGAAAAATATGATAACAACCATTTGGTTTGTTATTCAGGCAAGAAAAATAAATTTCCAAGGCTGTTACTTAAAAACCAGGTGCTTGTTAGATACTTGTTAGATCCTGGGAACAGACAGTGCCTTTGATTCGTTCAACATGGGCTTAATCCAGGTGCAGTTTGTCAAGGTCGAGGCTTAATGAGCATTTCTCAGTTCATACTGCAGCCACCACAATCCACCCCATGACTAAAATCAACTTCTCTGGGTCTCTGCTCTTGGACATGAATCCTCCAAGATTTGGAAATGCTGAATAGCAGAGGACACTACAGCAAATACTTGCTGCAACCCTGATCAATTCAAGGCCTTGGCACCATGAGCAGCTGCACTGAGCGTTGTTTTCAAAGGTTCTGCTGCTCTTATACTGTAGTATCTCTATGGTAAAAGAAAACATTGTCCGTAAAACTTCTAGGACACAAACTTTTGCAATACTGGTATGAAATTTTGAATTCTCTAAGGAAAATAAACTGTCACAAATCTCCTCACTTTCTACTGAAGGGGCAAGATACGTTTCTTCCACTCTGCCTTTCTCATTATAGATGTAACGTGTTCTAAAAATATGTATATATTTGCATATAAATATAAAAATGTATATGCCTATTTTAAACTTGCAGATAAAAAAGCCTCCTTTGTCTATGATTTTGTCTCTCTGAAAAACGTGGGAGAGGAATCATATGGGATAAATGCTGCTATCACACACTGCATATTGCTAAATACATTACTTGATACTACTGATAAGATCACAGCAAAAAAGCTGAACAGACAAATTATATGGTTAAATCATGTGTAATTTATTTTTTAATATGTTCTAGACATGTTTTTATATTCATGTCTTTCCTCGTTTCTGGTTTTGACATTTAGAGTTTTGTAAATAAATTAACTCTATGGATAGCATTGTGGGAAATTTTCAGAAACACTTGCTGTATGTAGGAAACAAAATGGTTTTGGTTTGCCTGAGATTTTGGTCTCTTGCACAGAGCTCTGAAACCATGCTCTAAATATGGGTAAACACTATAGGAATCCTAAAAAAATATCTTGGCTTTTGGGCCTGGACAATAAAGTTCAAGCTGCAGCGATTGGAAAGTCTGATCAGAAAGGAGACGCTCTCCCAGTTATTTCTGAACATAGTGTGTGACTTATGGATGAACTGGAGCCCATCTTCTGGGAAAACAGTTTGTCTTGTTGAAAACCTTCCTTACGAGAGTTTAACAGATTTTTCTCAGCAATCTGTTCACATCATTGGTTACCCTTCTTGCTAAAAATGTTCTTTTTACTACAAGTTTACATTTTATTGCCAAGATGTGTGAAACTCCAATTACAGATACTTCCCATCTGTGACAAAGAGTCCTCCCATCTGGGTAACCCAAAGATCCAACTTCATCTTATACCTGTAAGAAGACAAGCATGTGTGGGTTGTTCCCTGCAGCTGTGGTTCGAAGCTGTCACAGCAGGACTGCATTCTTACTTTAAAGAAGTGACGGGTTTTCCTTCGGACTCTGTAAACAGCAGTGGTGCTTCGGTGGGAAACAGGAAAGCAATCTGGCTCCCTATTGCTTGATTGAATTGGGTAGAAGGAATGCATAGGGTGAAAGGGTGGGTGGTAATTATTCACGCAGTGGCAATGATTTGATTATTTTTTTTTCCCTATTGTTTCCAAAGAACCTTAATGTGAGTTTTGGTGATAGGTACAGCTTAACCTGCCAGCCAAGACTAGGGCAAGGTTGCAGCCTAGTGCTCACTGTTAGCTGTCATAAGGCATTTGCTGTAGTCAGGTTCAGGTGTGGAAAACAAAGCAAGCATCAACATCTCAAATTAGTAAAGCTTTGGAAATCATGTAGGCTTACATACTTGTTGTCTGAAAAGGATTTTAATTAATTGCTTTGCCATCAGGCTCAGTTTGCTTCATCTTTCTTATTTTGTGGCTCTGGCACAAATGACAGGTTGCTAACTGTGAGCCACGTATTTTTACTCTCTGTCAGAATGTATTAAAAAAAATTCCCAATAAACTGCCAGAATCATGTGGGATTAGTTTAAAAATATTTGAAGAACAGTGAAACTTCATGCTCCAGAATTACATTCTCAAAATCAACTTTGTTTTGAAAGAAACCTCTGTCACACTGTGTGTTTCCTTTCATCTTGCAGGGGAAATGGCTGGAATGGTTTCTCTCAGTGTTCTCTGTTCCTTAAAATTAAAACCATCTAGGAAACTGGAGCAGTTAGTTCATACAGATTCTAAGCACTCCATCTTCTGCACATTACAATTTCTGCACTAGTATAAGCCTGAACTCCTGAGTCCCTTTGCAGCATTTAGTTGTGTGCATTCAGAGTGTGTGTTTGCCACCATATGAACTGGTTGTTGCACAAAATCACTAAAGCTGAGCCTGTGCATAACTGCTCAGAAAAGGTCCAGCATGTAAATGCAAGAGGATATTTCACATCGTTTAATAGCATTGTGTTTGTACTCCTACAATTGTTCTCTGAATTACCTGAAACCTCTTCCTCCATTTTCCAGTGCTTTTTTTTTCTTTTTAATGAATTATGAGGTTTGTCACATCTTTACTGATTTAGGATTTGTCTGGGTAGGATAGATGCATTTCTGGTGGAACCCCTTTTTATTTTTGGTTTGCCCTTTCTTACAGATGTACATCACAAGCACTATTAAAACAAAGAGCAGCAGGCTAGCCAAGCCTGTGCTGTGTCTGGGAACCCTGTGTGCTGCCTTCCTCACTGGGCTAAATCGAGTGTCTGAGTATCGAAACCACTGTTCAGACGTGATCGCAGGCTTCATCTTGGGGAGTGCTGTAGCCTTGTTTCTGGTAAGTCCATCAGTCTTTCTGTGTTCCCTTTAAATATACCACAGTTTAAAAAAAAAAACAACAACAAAACAAACAAACCCCCAAAGCAAAACAAAACAATTGCAATCACTTGTAGCCTGCAAGATCTAATTATAGCCCCATCTAATTAAAAGTATTATCAAAGAAAATCCTAATATGAAATCAGGTTCATACTAATTGGCGAGTCTAATTTGGTAGCATTTTTAAATTTTATATAGTTCAATTATTTGAATTACTCTCCAAGTTCTTACTTGATCTGTCCTGGAAAATGCTACAAAAGGTGGTGTAGATTTCAATATCAAAAGGAGGGTGTGCTTGAGATTCCTTCTCTGTGTTGCAAAACCCCTCTGTGTTTGTTGTATTTGGCAAAAATGTAAGGTACAGGGTGTTATCTGGAGCTCTGAGCTGTGATCCTGGTTCTCAGTTTTGTTTCAGACTATAAAAAAAGCACAATAGAAGGGAAAGTCAGGATAAATTCTCTTGGAGATAAAACTACCTCCCTTTGCATCTTTTAGGTAAAAGCTGAAATGGTTCCCCCCTCACATACATACTAAAATATATCAAAGGCCTTCCCACAGAATCTAGGAAGAGAATCTCTCCAGACTCTGAATGTAACTGTCTCACCTATGGGCTGTGTGGTTTAAATGTTTTGTTTGGTGATAGGTCTCTTGCTGAGGATTTACTTACACAGCAAGCAGTCCAGGTCACTCTCAATATTACCAAGAAATGTGCCTGGTTCCATTTAATCAAAATATGCCTCAAAACTATCCACTGCATAGCAACAGACACTTTATCCCTGTAATCAGGAGGGATTAGGGTTCAAAGATCCCTTAAATCTTGATTGTCCTGTCACTCTTTTTTCTACTCTGTACTTGAAAAAGCATCAACAAACCTTCAAGCGTCATTTATTCCTGTGCTCATTTCAGATAAAAAGATGTCTACAGCCTCTGACCTGAATCTCCTTGACTTTAATGTGAATACTTTGTCTGGTTCCTGCTGGGAAAGGCAGTTTAAATCTCACCCATGCAATTTAAGAGGCAGCTGCCCCATCTATCAGGCCAGGACAGTGTCTGTGCTCTCAGTACCTGTTGGTGGCAGTGACAGCCTGTCCCCAGCTGTATTTTGACCTTGAAGACCTTCTGGCACCCTGCAAGTGTCACAAGCTGAATTTCAGAGTGGTGGAAAGGGTCTCCCCAGAGGGGTGTTGTCAGATCTCTGGCACTGATCCTGCTGGCACAGGATCCACCCAGGCTGCAGCCTGCTTCTTGCTCGGGTCTATGGCAGTGAAGGGCAACAGCCAGCAAGGAGCTGTCTGCAGGACTCACTCCACCAGTAAATGTGTCAGCTCCTGTGTACCTTCTTTTTTCTGTGTCCTCAAGCTACCCACTGCTGTGCACGGTTGCTCTTACTGGCATCACCATCACCACGTGGGTGGTGTGAGTCTAGTCATGCATAGGGGATAAATATACAAATCAAGGATAAACACAACAGTAGTGATGCTAGAAGCATGCAGGAATGATGCCACATTATGCCATCCAGATGTGAGGGAGGTTCAGCCATCTACAGAGCATGTTCACTTTTTGGAAATGACAAAGAGTCTGAAGGGAGTATTTAGCCAGTTAAAGGCTTTATTTGGGTAGTCTGTGGTTCTGGGATGATAAGGCATACCTGGGGGTTTCTGCTGTGTCCAGTGTGAGAATGGTCCATCACCAAAGCAGTCCATCATGCCCAGCACGTCAGTAACTACACTGCATCCCAAGGCTGACACAGATGATGCCTTGAACCCAAACCCCATTTAAATTCTTTCAGTTGTGTCCCAAATAGTAATTCATTCCCTTGTCAAATTTTTCCTGGGGAGGGAACACACTGACCTCACTCTGGTTTTTTTCTGCATTGCACAGGGGATATGTGTTGTCCATAATTTTAAGGGCAGTCATGCAGCTCCTTCTAAACCGAAGCCTGAAGACCCACGAGGAATGCCACTAATGGCTTTTCCCAGGGTGGAAAGTCCTCTAGAGACACTGAGTGCACAGGTACTGTAAATCTCTTACCCAGACCATCACCAAGCACATTTTCTGTTGCATCAGAGTAAAAAGTAGTTTTGTACCTGACTACATATGCCTCCTTTCAAGCCCATGGAACAGAGTGAATCTGCGTCACAGCAGAGTTTGTTTTAACAGATTTATCCTACCAAATACTATAGATCTTCTGCTCCCATACATGTCCACAGCTAAAGAAATAAGATTTCACATGCCTCACAAAGGTTTCCTTAGAAGAATAGAAAACTGAGAAAAAAATAAAAATAATTCTGCCTATTTATATTCTAGAAAACTTTTGGGATGTATGAAGGATTTACTCTTTCCTGAGGATAAACTAGTCTGTTTTATTCTGTATTAAAAATATTACAGAGATTAGGTGTTGTATCCTTATTACTGTTTGGTATCTTCTATAGTAAGAAGAAATCATACATTTTTTTTAAGTCATCCAAAGAAAAATTATTAGCATTCTTTCAAGCCTGCAAAAAAAATAGCTGGTGGGAATATCGACAATTTAAATGGCTTGTGTTGGCATAACTGCATCAGACCCAGTCTTTTCAAAACAGACAGGTAAATGCAACCTGCCAGAAATTCTAGGAACAAGGATAAATTGTAACTGATGAGTTATCTGAAATAAACTGATGTAATTTACTTGGTCTTCAAATTGAACTTCCTTTACTGGTCTTCAAATTGAACTTCCACACATGATGTGTGGAAAGATCAATAGCGAGTTTTGTTAAGTCTTTCTGAAATAAACTGAAAAGAGGATTTTTTTTTTTTAAGGGAAATATACTGTCTCTAATGTCTGGAAATCCTTTGCTTAATTGAAAAGTCAATTTTGATTAGGTAAAGATTTACTGGAAGTCTTTCCACTAAATCTGCAGAACTGTGTGCATTAGATGTTCTCTTGATGGGTTTATAGTCCAGAAACTAAGTGCTACTTATATATCTACATTGTGTTGTGTAGACAGAAGGGCTGAGCAGGTGAAAATATTCATGAGCTGTGAGAAATATTTTGTCCAGTCAACTGTTTATAGCTACTGGACTGTGAAGTGCAGGTAGGGACTGAACTTTAACTGTTGATCTAACTGAAATCAACAAGATAATTTTCTTAAATTATAATTAAGAACCGGTATAATTATAATTAGTTATAATATATGGTATAATTATTGACCATAGATCTACAATGCAAGTTTTATGAGTGAGGGTTTTTCCCACTGCTTTTGCATACTAGTAGATTATGTCAGTGCTAGACTGTTGTATACAAACATTCATGTGTGTGCCTTTTCCTCTTTGCAGAATCACTCTGCCTCTATGACAGAAGTAACCTGAGATGGGAGATCGGCAGCTGAAGCTATTTTTTACTACCCTCCAGTAAAATACTTCAAGACACACAGTTACTAAATGTCTAACTGTGATGACTAGTATTATGTTATGTCTAGTTAGAGGCTAATGTTTTGTACTTTTTTTGTATGAGGAAGTGATGTAGCTTGCCCTGATTTTTTGTCAGCTTTAATATTATTATGCTAGACTTTAAAAGCAAAACAGAAAAAGAACAAAAAAAACCCCTTTTCTTGTTTCAAGTGTGCACTGAGGAACTACATCTATGGAATTGTTGATGTTGTTATGTGATATTTGTACACAATTTTTTTTCTTCTCAGTTTTGAATTTATATATCTTGGGAGGGAAAAATTCACTTTTACCTTTTCTTACCGTAAGAAGTTCTAGGTCAGATTCTCATCTGAGTAAACTCAGCATGGATCTGCAGCAATTGCATATATTTAATTAATATTAAAACAACAGTGATCAGGAATCTAACCTGAATAATACTATCGACAAGAAACAAAAATCCATCCTGGATTCAGTGAGCTACTTAAGTGTTTTCTAGGAGTTAATGGACTTCAGTTACCACCCAGTTCCCAGACTAGAAGCATGTTCTTAAGCACCTCACTGAATCAAAGCCTGATTGTTCTGGTGTGGGTGGTTGTGCCAGTTATTGAAGAATAACTAGAACAACACCCTTGGTCTGCAGTATAGACAGACAGGATATCAAAATTTATAGTAGTAGCTGATAGCATGTGAGCTGACTATTATCATCTCCCTAGACCCTCATTCCTCCCCGAGGCCCAGCTAAAGCTCCCAGTGAAATCTGGCTTCAGGAATTGACTATGGGGATATACAGCCACCACTGTGGGGCTCCGGCTGCGCTGTAAGTGTTTCATCATTTCATCATAGATTTGTGGGGTAACTAGTGACACTGCTGCAAAGGAAAAGTGGCACCACTCCTAAACCAGGGTGGCATTCCTTGGCATTCAAATTGGCATAGCCAAGAAGCCAGTTTTGCTGCCCAAAATGTATTTTTTTTTCCTGAGGGGCTTTGACAAGTCAAAAAAAAAAAAGACTGAAAGAAAAGGAAAGACAGAAGAAGACAAAAGAAATAAAAGAAAGAAAGAAAGAAATCTGAGTCTGTAGTAGCAGTCTGCATTTTTTTTGTAAATTCTGCCATACAGAATTTATATCAAAACTGCTATTTTACAATTCAATAACTTTGTCTAAGCATTATGAAGACAACTCAGTATGGGTTGGGGATGGGAAGAACAACAAAAATAATCCCATTTACAATAGTTAGAACTAGGGCAAAGGCTTCATTAAATGATTTTTCACTGTTTCTAGGATTTTCCTGCATCTCATTCTTCTAGCATGGTGATAACTGCTGTGTGTCTCCTTTAAAGAATGGAGCCTTTGTACTTTTACTGGAATGTTTACCTCACATTTCCATGTAGGTTCTTCTCAGCTTTTTTTTTTTTTTTTTTTTTGTATATTTTTTCCAAAACAGAAGCAAAAAAAAAAAAATTATCAAACAAGCAAACACATGAGCCAGTCTTTCATTTGCCTATGACACAAAGAAAATCTGGAATGTCTGTGTCTGGTTGTGTGGTGTTTCTTCCTTCTTCTGATTCCTGCTTCTGGCTTAGGAATATAAGGATCAGACTTGGGCCATGCTTTCTGTGGCCATGAGGAGCCTTTGCCAAGTGTTCTGGGTTCCTCACTGCAGCTGTAATCAAAATTCCAAAGGGAAAAATCTGTTCTGAGTAATTTTATTAAGAAATAGCCTCCCAAGCTGGCTTCTTCACACTTTCTTGTGATCTTCACTACTGCTCTGGCCTAAAACAAAGAAAGATGCATGGGCAGGGCTTCTATTTATTTATTTATTTGTAATTAAATTCAACTGAAGTGACAAATATTTAAAAGCCCAGGGATAAAGTGATTAAGCATCTAAAAATCTTGCCCTTCCATGGCACATGTGCTGTGTGCAGGACTTCAATGTCATTTCAGATTTCTGCTTTTTCAGCTTGTTACAAGCAGTTAAATGTTTTGCATCTCAAACACCCATGTGTTTGATCTCTTCCCTTGTACTCCATTCCCTGCAGCTTCCTGTGCTGAAGGAAGCATGAGGTCTGCACCTCCAAGAGACTGGTACGTCTGGGATCAGGGAAATGGCAGTTTGACTGAACTCAGACACAGCAAAACACAAGACAAGCTGCTGTCCAGCTCCTTCCTTGCCTCTCCCAATTCCCAGTCCTGTTTTTCACTCTGTTCTGATCACATTACATGAGCTATCAAAGTTACATCCTTGGAGAGACACAAAAAGGGGAATGAGAACAAAGTGCAACTACAACTGAAGTGTTTTCCCAGATAGCGAATTTTAAAGATGAAACAAGGAGGCACAGGTATCTCTGATTTTGATGGAAGGACATAATTTCACAAAAAAGTAACTTCCAATTCACTGCTCCTAAACAGCCTCTGAAGCCAACAAGATGAGAGTTAGCCATTTGTCACACTGTGGTTTCCCATAAGCTACAGAGGAGGGATTTGTGAACATTCAGCCTTCCATGGTGATCAGTGAAACATCCCCAGTGCAGTCACCCCAGTTCACCCCATAGTGGAACATGTAGGTGTACACTTACACTATTCTGTCATTCTCCAATAGTCAAAAGGAGAAAGAAAGCATTTCCTAAATTTCTTCAGAGCTTTTGAGAAGAAAGCAGTACTTGAGACGTTTGCTCAGTTAAGATAACTGAGTACTGTAAATACACAAAAGCAGCAGTGCCTGAGTGTGCTTCATGCATCTGCACACTGAAAGAAACCAGGGGAAGTTGGAGCGGTACAACCAGGACATTTCTGATTACTCCCAGAAAGATCACATAGACTTTCAACCTCACTGGAAACAAGTTGTTTCATAGAAAACACTCAGGAAGTACCATGCATTTCTCAGACTGTTTATTTTCTTGTCCTCCTGACTTCACTGCTTGCCTCCTCCAATTAAAAGCAGACCTGCCTCATCAGTTAGCTGGGAAGAAAAACTAACACTCAAAGAACTTAAAAAATGGGGCCCTTAACAAGCATTGGAGAATTCAACAAGATGCCTCAATAGCAGCTGATTTTATAGGGCTCTCCACCATTATTCAGTGATTTCAATGAACTTCTATTACTGAAAGTCACAGATTTCACCCCAACCAGAGGGCTCTCCTGCTGCCCTACAGGCACAGGAATGCTCTGTGGGGGGACTCACTGCTGCCAGATGATTTTCAGGTTCGGGGGCAGCTCTGCAGCTGCGAGTTCATCGATCTCGGTGCTGTCCTTTACGGGGGTGCGGTAGAAGCCCAGCACGTCCCCGGCGCAGCGCACGCGGTGCAGCTGCGAGTTGGGGACAGCATGTCCCAGCTCTGCTGCCAGCCGGGCCAGCAGGCGATACTTCAGCCTGTTCTCCTGCAGGGGAGCCTGCTGCCAGTCCTCGGGAACAGAGGGCCCGAAGACCTCCCTGACGTGGCACTCCAGGCAGCTCTGCAGGTCCTCGGGAGGGATGTAGCTCCGGCAGCGTGGCAGGGGGTGGATCAGGCTGGGCTCGCTGCTCTCTGCCTTCTCAGGAACTGCTCGGTCTGCTTCCACTTCTCCCTCCTCCTTCCTGCTGGCACCAGAACACATGTTCAGCCTCTGGGCTACACAAGACAGAGTCAGAGCATTTTTGTACTTGTGATGTTTTAAACCACTCCATCCAGACACTCCACATATCCCATGGACTCATCAGGTCCGTTAGCTAGAAGAGCACAGGCTTTCCCCAAGTGCTGCTCCCCACACAGGCTGCCTCTGCAGAGCAATCACACCCCCACCTTATTTCACTGCTCTGAATGAAAGCAGGATTTTAACAAGATTAGTTACTTGTTTTCTGTTACCGCTCCATTACCTAATTTGCTGTGAATAAAAACCATTTCAGAAAATAACCACTATTACAGAAGAAAATCAGTGCCCATATGTAAGAAAAAAAATCATTATTAGTTTTAAGACAAAAAATTACCTTCTCGTATGCCCCAATCTAGCCAACACCCATGCGTGGTTTCACGCAAACTGTTACAGAGGAACTGCTTTTCATTCCCGCGAAATCCCTTTCTTCCCACTTCTAACAAAAGCAGTAACAGCTCTAAAGGCTCCAAACCTTCACCGCTGCGGCCCCGCCAGCAGTGCACCTCGGTGGGCGCTGGCTGCCCAGAGAACCTGAGGAGCCTCCTTCCCTAAGAACACTCCAAAGCCGCCTGGACAAACCCTGAGGGATTTGCTCAGGGGGTGCCAGGCTAAATGACCTCCAGAGGGCCACGGCCCGGTGAAGGCCCAGCATGAGGAGAAGGCCAGAAGCCACCCCCACCCTGTGCCCTGCGGGTACCTGCGGCCGCCCCAGAACGCCCTAAGCCCCGCGGGGCCGAGCTCCGGCCTCCGCCGCGCCGCCACCCCCAGCGCCAGCAGCGCCCGCACCGCCGCCATGCTGGGGACGCGCCGGGCGCCTGCCGCCGCCGCTGGTGACGTATTTCTGCCGCGCCCCGCAAAGCCTCCTGGGAAATGTAGTCCATCCCCTCAAGCCCGCGCCCTTGCTGGGAAGCGGAATGTGTGGAAATTCCCTTCGGAATAGCCGTTCTTTGATGTTTGGTCTTAGTGTGCTTTCAGACTTAATCGACAGGAGAGGCCATTTTGTCCGTGTAACAGAAACTAGCCAACAAGCTCTAAGCGATGGCCAGGCCTTGGAAAGGCTGGTTACTTGGCTGAATTGCCTTGTTGAGGTGTAGGGTTTGACAGGCTTCAGTTACCTCAGACACAGGGGAGGTTAGCAAGGCTTGGAAAGAAGGATGTACCACTGGTGGTGGACACAAAGATTGCAGGATTTATGGGCACAAGGACATTTGGCAGAACCCCCAAGGAAAGGAACAAACAGATAAAGCCAATGCAGAAACTGTGCTGAATCAGGTCTGGTGGGGTAAAAGGTAATTCCAGTAAGGCGACTCACGGCCACCAATTTAAGAAACCACTGACTGAAAAGAAAGACTGAGCATGCAGACTAATTAGCATGAGAAGCAAGAGGACCATTAACTGACAGCAAACAGAATACTAATTATTATGAAAACTAGATAACTTGTAGTCAATGAATATTAATTTCTTTGTTTACTAATATATATAAATAGGGGGAAATTTTTGTCTTCTTGGTGGTGAGGGTGGTTTATAAAAAAGAGGGAGAGAGACTTTCTGCACAGACAGATAGTGACAGGATAAGGGGGGCAGTTTTAAACTAAAAAAGGGAAGAGTAGATATTTGGAATAAATTCTTTGCTGTGAAGGCAGTGAGGCCTTTATACAGATTGCCCAAAGAAGCTGGGAACACCCTATCCCTGGAAATGTTCAAGGCCAGGTTTGGACAGGGCTCAGAGCAGCCTGGTCCAGTGGAAGCTGTCCCTGCTCATGGCAGGGAGGTTGGAACTAGATGGGTTGGAAAATATAATAGTTCAGGTTATTTCTAATGCAAATGATTCTGAGATTAATCTTCGATCAGAGTATCAGTAGGGTGCTGCTCATCAGGAGCAGAAGTTTCCATGAACTCAGATATGTGGAGACCCAGAGGAGCACAGCTGAAGCAGGAAGGAGGTGTTATTCCTGACACTAGCATCAGACTCTGGAGTGTTTTTTGGCAAATAACTGGCTCTGTTCATTGTCAGGAGAAACTAAATGCAGGCCTTAATTATGCAGTGACTGAATCCACATGAAGGATTTTGGCTGTTTATTTATTGCCTGTGTGACACACTGGTTATTAACTCAGAGGCCATGAGGAGGTGGTTACAGGCCAGTGATTTTGCCTGTTTTCCCCGTATTTGTTGGCAGGAGCAGCAAGTGCCAGTGGCCAGGAGGAGCAGCCAACAGAGAGAGGTGACCCTGAAAAGGTGTGGAGTCCTCTGGGTGACCTGGCCCTGGCTGTTTAGGGGGCTGCTCCAAGGCCTCATGTGTTGATTGGTGTAGCACGTAGCCAGGCAAATATTCTTACGTAACGCTAGGCCTGCTGTTTTTGCCATTTATGCCTTTTTCTCATGACCATCTGACTGTGCTTTTGTTAACAAAGCTTACACCTTTAAAAGGGACACAGTAATGTGCCAAAGGTTGAACCATGTGTCTGCAACATCAGCTTCATTACTCAAGCTACGCAACAGGTACACCAAGATGCCTTCATGCATGCTTTTTGTTAATTATTGTGGAAAACACCACTGTAAAAGTGGCTTGTGAGGACAGACTTTGCACAGCCCTGACTCAATGTGTGCAACCCTAATACAGTGTTTACCAGCCTCCTCTCACCAGAAATGGTTCTCCAGAGTCATGAGGTGCTTCTGAAGGTATTGTTGTTTATCTGTGGCCTGACTCCCCAGCGCTGCTTGCTGTCTACATCTCCCAAGTGTTGTAGTGTCTGCCAGACTTCTGTTGGCAGGATTAACCTCTCCAGCTGTGCCACTACTGGGTTATCTCCCTTTGATACCCTCAGAGTTTCCCAAACTCACCAGCTGCAACACTTTGTGACTCCATCTTTTAAAGGACCACAAAAAAACACAGATGTGTGAAAGATATTATGAAGTTTACACAAACAAAAAGAACTGTGAGGTAGAGATTAGTTTTCAATTACTGTTTTATTGACATGATTGAATACACAGTCAGGTTTTATAATTCAGGATTGTGGCTGCTAAGTGTGATAATGGACAAGGGTAGCTATTTGAATTGCTAGGGAACTACTAAATCTGCCTCCTATTCCAGGGGTTGAGTTTCAGACTGAGGGAGGATGGGTTCATGATTCATTGGCAGCTGTTTGTTGTTTGGAAAAAAATCCCTTTCCTTGGAACATGCAAATGAAAAAAAAAAAAATATCCCCTTGGTATATTGTGGGAGTGAAGGGTGGAGAGGAAGCTAAGCCATTCTATCTCCAGTTTGGTGTAGGGTAAGGGAAATTAGATTTCTGTATTTTTCTTTTATTTCTGAACATCTTCCACTCTGTGAGAAGGGACAAGAGGAAGGAAGGTTCCTGCTGTTTCAGTAGGTGTAGCTGGCAGTGAACAGTGACTGTGTGGCAGCTGCGTCGTTCTTCCCAGACTGGACATATTGCCCCCTGCAAGCCAAACTGTTAATCTGAAAAAGAAGGGGGAAAAAATATGAGGGAGAAACAATCAGCAGCATGGAGTAGGAAAAGCCGGTGTATACAGAACAACCAGCAGGAGTAACCAAGCAAGGCAGAAATAACAGAGTAGTGCCCCAGGTGAACAAAGTGCCAGGAAGGATGGGATCAAGAGCAGCCTTAGGAAGATGACAACAAGGCACCTTCATGGTGACAGCTCTTCTCTCTGCTCAGGGGAAGCCTCGTACCTGTGCCCGCTTGCGGAAGGCCTCTTGAGCAGCTTTCTTGTTCTCATTTTTGCCCAACCATGCAGCCAGGGCAGAGGCCTGCAGGGCTCTCCCGTAGGAAAAGGTCAGTTTCCAAGGCTTAGGAAGAGGGCACTGATTCATGGCATTCAGGTTGAGAGAAGCCTCCTCTTCACTCTGACCTCCAGACAGGAAGCAGATTCCTGCAAGAAAGCGGTTTTGAGGCTTAGAAATACAATGTTCCGGCCACCTCAATCCCTAATCTTTACTTGCCAGAGGAGCAGGCATGTCAGAGGTAGGAGAGAGAGTGGGAATGAAGAGATAGGAATGAATCAGGAATCACCAGGAACAGCAGCAGGAACGGTGCGGAGGAGAGTAGTGACGGTTGCTATGGCTACATCCTGAGGGGTGTACTTCTTAGAGCAGGAATGCCCAGCCGTCACCATGTTGGGTTTCAGCAGTGTCCCCTCCAGGTACACGTGATGATCATTCAAAGCCTTGTAGACAGCAGCCAGAACCTGAAAACGGGAGGATTGAATACAGACCTCTGCTCAGATCTTCACCTCAGGCTGCTTGGAAAGACAGCTTGTTATTTGGTACTGTAGCAAAATTGAATTGAATTTTGTTTTCTCATGAAATTTATTTCTAGGGTTGCAGTTGTGGAGGCCCCACTGCCTTTGAGATGACCAGGATACAACTCTGTATATTTAGCAGATTTGTCCTTGGTGAAATTGAGGTCATTGGGTTTGGTCCCAATACATCTTTTTGAGATTGAGAATGCTTATATTGTTATTAAAGTGAAAATCCAAAAGCATGGAAAATACTCTTGGATTTCCTATTAGTTTGTTATGTGCCTAGGAGCAGCTCATTTTTGTCATGCAGTTACGAAGGCCATTTTTGGTCAAATCACTTTGAGATCTGTGAGCACAAACTGCACAAAATTTAGCTGCAGGTTTGTGAGAGGGAGCACAGAGGGAGGAATCTCTTCTTACCTTCTCTGTGACATACTGACAGCGCTGGAGATCATGGTCTCCATCAGGCAGGACTTCTGGCTCCACAATGGGCACCAAGCCATGCTAGGAAAAGAAAGACAGGGGATTATTTAGGGGTATGGAAGTAAAACTGCTGTTTTTGTTTGTCCTGACTTTGGTGGTATTCCTTCATGCTGTGCTGCCCTTCCTCCTTGTCTTTCCCAAAACCCTCACAGGGATTCTCCTTTCAAGCTACCTAGTGTATTATCAGAGGGAAGAGGGAGAAGGGACAGCAACATCTCAGGAAAGGTTGCTGCAGAGAAGGTACCTGCTGGCAGATACTGGCATAGCGTGCCAATGTGTTGGCATTCTCTTGGATGGCAAGTTGAGAGGGTGTTGTGCTGGAGATCTTCAGCACTGCACGCCACTTGCCAAAGTCAACACCATCTTTCTTGTACTGGGCACAGCGTTCAGCCAGACCATCCAGCCCTGCAGAGGAGAATAATGCTTCACTGAGAGCTACTCTTCAGCATGGAGATCTGGAAAGTCCTGTGACTTCAGCCAAGGCTGCATCTCAGGTAAGTCATCCTATGGTTTTTGCTGCCTGGGCCATAGCTTAGGCTCCTTGGGCCTCTCCTTACCTTGGATGGTGGTTTCTCCATTTGTTCCTGCTAGAGGTGCTGTGCCTTTATCCAGCTGTGGAGGTCAGAAAAACAGGAAAAGTTACAGAAAGGTGGGAATTGGGCTATTTCTTACATTCCTACCCATGTCTGGTCGCCTTTGAAGGCAGACTGTTACTAATGTGTGGACCTTAACATGTTCGGGATGCAAAGGAAGGAAATGTTGGAGCAAAGGGGAAGAAAAAGGAGTGAACTGGGTAAGAGGAGGAGCAGTGTGTATATAGATGCCTCCAGGGAATGGCTCAAGAACTTTATTAGATGTGGAAAGAGTTAGGTTTAGGTTACCGCATGGAGAGACTTATTTGCAGTGAATGGTGAGTAGATAGGAGTTGGTGTATGAAAAGCTCCAGCATCTAGTTCCAGCAAATGTGCCTCTAGTTAGTTGCACAAAAGCAATGCAGAGAATTTTAAAACCAAGGACAAAAATGAGGGGGGAGGGGGCAGTGTTTTTTAAAAGACAGTGCAGCCCCATTTATAATTTTCTCTGAAAATGAGATTTGGATTATTGTGCCAGCCCAACACATACAGATACGCACCTTAATTCCTACCACAATGCCTTTTTCCTTGATGATTGCTGGGAATGGCTTTCCACTGCTGTCTTTCTGATAGAGAGTCTCATGGAAAAGGATCACTCCCCCAATGCTCTGGTTGATTGAAGTGTCCGAAGAGAAGAGGATCTCTCTAAAAGCTCGGCGGTTCTCCTCTGTGTTCTCCACATTGATCCGCTGCAGTCTGTTCCCCATGGTACCTAGTAAGGTGGACAAAGAGGTTCTAGGCTTGGCTGGCCTCCTGGTCCCAATAAGTAGTAATGAACTTCAGTTCAGAGCTTCCGTTCTCAACCCATAGTTTGTAAGCTTTCGTTGTTATAGCTGCAGCGCTGCCTGGCTGATTTGTTCTGGTCAGACAACAGTTGCAAAGTGGTTTTCATCTACTCAACTGATTTCAAATATGAAGCAAAACTAAAAGGAAAAAACATCTTGCATACTGCTAACTTATTGATGTCCAGGACTTACCCACTGATTCATCTGCAGCTAGGATCCCCTTTCCTGAAGCCACAATCCGTTGAGCAATGTCTGCAAGAGCTTTCTTCTGCTCTGGAGACAGTGCTGGGAACTGGTGAGTCATGTTGACTTATCTGTAGGAGAGAATTCCTGTTGTAAGTAATTACAAGTAATTGCTGGAGACTGTGAACCAGTGACACCACTCAGATGTTTCCTCTGCAGGGCTCTTGGTGCTTATCTGGTCCATGTTATCATAGGCAATATGACTAGAAATCCATCTGAGTTCTTTTAGTCTTGACGTGTCTGGAAAAACTAGAAAGAAATGCAGGAGATACATCCTGCTACATCCTTCTAGAACCAAAGTGAGAAAGACTTTGCATTTTACCTGGATTTGCTCAGAAAATAAAGGAAGGTCAGTCTGTCATAAAAACATGCACCAAATAACAAGTAAGCAAATTGCTGACTCTGCATACTTTTTGGTTCCTGTCCGTAGAATGCCAGTTATTCATTGCTTACCTTTACACATTTCCTAACACTGCTCCTCTTCTATTTCCTACCTCTGTTGGCAGTACTTGCTGCTGTGTCTGGTTGCTGTGTCTGGTCCATCCCTAATCTTTTGCCTGTGTTTGTAATTCTTCTCCCTATGCCTGCTTTCAGAACTGTAGTGCATTGCTTCCTCTACAGAAGATTTGGGGCCTTAGGAGAATTCACTCCTCAGTTCTATATATTTAGCTGGGGTAGAGGGTTACCAGCTGCAACTACCCAGCACCTGAAATCTGGGTTCTTTCTTGACATGACAAAATTCTTGGTCTTATCAAAGTTTTGGTTATATGACATTAAATTACAGTTTATCATATGTGATAGCTAAAGCAATGCCTCTGTTTTTATTAATGGTTGGTAAATCCAGAAGGTACTTAATTAAAAACAACATAAAATATCTCAAATATCACATTTTCATTCAAAAGGGCAGGACTCTGGACAGTGTTTGCATTTTCTATTCTCAAACTCTGCCTGAGTTTGAGAGGAGTGAGAACATGCCATTTCAATTTTCATCAGAGATGGCCAGAAAACATTTCTCCCTATATAAGCATGTAGGCAGTCAAATACCACTTCTTATTTCCCGGCACACAGATACTGAGTTGCCAGGGAATCTTTGTCTTATCCTTTCTGCTGAAGAGCATAATGGGGAGAAACAATGAAGAGTCTGTCTGCTACTCATGATAGGGTACAGAGTTCTGTATTGTATGTCAGATGGTGCCGTAATTTTCTGGCAACTGTGCCATCAGAGTATGGTAACGGCTGCAAATTCATGTCCCTGATTTATAGCTGAAGCTACTTTGGTACTGGTAATGTTATCCTGCAAGATTCAAATGATATTGTCTGCCATACAGACCAGTCAGATGCAGGTCTGCTTTACATCTTTGCGAGCTGAGCCTGGAAATTTTCACATGCAGCTTACCACAGAGTGAGTAATTTTAGGTTTAGAGGGAAGATGAAGGAGTGCAGGATGAATACTTAGTTAAATTAGAGAGAGTTTCCTGCTTTTCAAAGGGCTAAAATGCCTTCTTGCTGTGGTCATGGTGAAACAGGCTTAGCTGAACCCCTCTCTCCGACTGTCAGCCTGTGGCCAGAACTCTGGGAACCATCCTTCTACTGTGGTGGTCACAGCCCCATCACTCCCAACTCTTGGCCTTTTCAGCTCACTCAGAAGAATTTTAAAATCTATGGTTTATGCTGCATAGCTACTTCAGTTCACCTACAACTCTCCTTATCCCTCACCTGCTTTCTGTGTTGGATATGTCTTAAAAAGAGAAAACTGGCTTGTTACTATGATTACTGTAATAATAGCTTGGTGATGAGCACCTCAGTTAAAACCACACTACTGTTAAACAATTTGTTATGCAAAATTATAAGGAATCACTCTAGTAGTTTAGAGCCTCGTGGACAAGATTGGAAAATTGTGCTATAGCAAGAATAAGATTATGTCTAAGGTCAGAGTTAATTAATTGCTAAATCAGGGGTGGGATTTTAGAGTTGCAGTTTGGAGCTGTGTTACAGCGCCAGGAGGTGTATCCAGGTAACCTTGAATTCAGCTGGCTGGACTGCAAGATCACCAGTTGCTCCAGTCATGTTATGATGGGTACACTTTCTTTCCAGCAAGGCAATAAACAATCAGGCTAATGTCTGCTCTATCTTACTTGTTCCAAGTGTTTGCCTAAAGATAACAAGGGGACACTTATCACTCAAAACCAGCTTGCAGGGCAAATTTTCAAGATACAGAAATATGAGTTTTCAGTGAATAATGCTATTCCAAGTGAAAACTCTGAGAGACTGAAACAACAAAGTGATGAACTGGAAGACAGAAAATTAGTTCCAATTTCTATGCAAGTATCTCACTGAGTGTAAAGGGGCAGGTGGAGATTTGCCCAAAGTCTCCCCAGAATTATCTTTAAGGCCATGGTGAGTGGTTCCCAGATACTCTGCTGAGCTACAGGAACAAATAAAAGGCACGGCGTTTCTAGCTGAAATGGCAAAGAAATTAGGACAAAATAACAACTGTAAACCTTGTAATAGCTCAAAGGTGCAGAATGTTCTAGAACTCTTGATTTAGGCTTTTATTTTTCTGTGATTCTTTCATGAGAATAATAATTTCTGACAATCTTCATGTCTGCATTCAGAAAGGGTGTATCTGCTCAAGGTCCTGCTCTGAGCAGGGGAGCAGGCACAAGAGGAGTGGAGAAGCCTTACACTTCAGTAACATTTCATTAAGCCACTATTGTAAAGAATAAACTCTCAGCACATCCATAAAAGCATTAATGTTACCATATTCATATCCCCTCAAAGAGCTGAATATGTCACCTCACAAGCTCTGAGAAAAAACAGTTGTGCTTAGGCTGCCAGAGCTGCAGAGCTCATTTCAGTCTTCCAAGAATGAAGCCTATTTGTCTTAATCTGATTTATCTGTTTAAATTGACAACTTTTCCAGAAAGAAAAAAGTTCTAATGAATTGTGATCTCAGTAACAGTAACTGGTAGTTGTCCCTCCACTAAGGTGTTTCAAGAAGCTTTATTTTTATTTACCCATAGGCTGTGGGCTAAGTGTCATAAGCTCAAGTGATTTCACACTGATTTTACATTGTATGAATGCAATGCAGTCTCTTTGTAGTATCTGCTTATTTTTTTTTTTTTTTTTTTTTTTTTTTTTTACGTAGAATTATAAAAGAACCTCAAAAGAATAAAACTGCACAACCCCACCCCCACCCACCCCCCACTCCAGCTTTGTAGCTACCCGGAGCACTTACCAGGCTTCAATAGCTCCTTAAGCAAACTAATTTCTTTGTTCAGCCCCCATTTTCTGCCCAGCAGGAGATGGGGGTGTAGAAACAGAGGACAGCACAGTTGTGAAAGTAAATATTGTATTGCTGAAATCTTGGGTTTCTCTTGGCTACCATAAAGAAAGAAGGGCTGAGGGGAAATGCATGATGGCAGCACAAGCACTTGCTCCTGTTAATATTAATAGTGAGAACCAAAGAGCAGAGTCAAGATGAATAACAGAAGGAACAATGTTACATTTTGCTTCCAGTCATCTTAGAAACTTCAATACATCATTGGCTTATTTTCTTTTCAAGAACCTCATGTGACTGGTATCTTCTGATCTTACATAAAATCTCACCTGAGTCCCAGTTTGCAGATGGGACAAGACTGGATCAGAATATCTAAATTTTTCTTTTGGGTCTCTGTACTGCCTTATTTTATAAAATTGGATCCAAAAGTACAGTACCAAAGTTTTAAACTACAGCTTGTATCCCACACATGTAATTTTTTTCCTAATCAATTACTAGTAAATACCACCATTCAGTATCCTCTCTAACAGTCAGCAATACAAACTCTGCACACAAGAAATTTGCTTCCAAAGAACAAGGTTTGAAGAAGAAGCAGCTGAATACATAAATAGATAAATACAGTTGGTAGAGACAATGAAAAGTATTCAAACTTTGACCTATCACATGTAGGCACAGTGTTGGCATGACTGAATTTACTTCTCTTTTACACTTACATGCTTAGAGGAGGCAGACACATGATGACTTAGGCACCTTATATTCCCTGCAGGGGACATCTGTGGTTACTGACCTCAGTTCTCTGTAAGGAGCTCCATTAAAAAGCTGTTTCTAAGTAAGTCTGGTTCCTTGGGCGTGGGGAAAACAGATGGGTATGAATGGCTGGGCAAACCAGCCCCATCCAACAGATGGGGACAGAGCACATTCTTACCTAGGTGGCAGAAGACACACAGCTGACAGGACTACTTGATACGCCTGATTGATGGGCAGCCATCCAGGGGAGCCTGGACATGGGAGTGGGAAGAGGCCAACAAGAGCACCATGCAGTCTGGCCAAGACAGATGCCCAGATATTGCCTGGGGTGCAGAGCACTGGCAGCCATTCCCCAGGACTAGTGGGATGAGGGAACAGCTCTTTGGGGATGGCCTAAGGCCCTGTCAGGTAGCGAGCTGAACAGGGCCAGCAGCAAGGGCCCAAGCATCCTGTGTGAGCAGGGGTCTGTCCTGGAAAGCCAGGGGAGGAGATGGGTTAATCCCCCTTTGCACAGCACTCCATAGTTAACATCTGAGTACTGCATGCAGTGTTGGGCCCCTGCAGTACAGGAAAAACACTGACATACTGAAGTGAGTTAGTTCAATAGATGCCACCAAAAAGCTCAATGGCTGCAGCACTTGCTCTGTGAGGAGAAGTCTGCAGAGAGGTCTAGTTCAGCCTCAAGCAGCAATGGCCTGAGGGACAACTCTCAGCAGTCCTCAGTACCTACAGAGTGTGATTGAAGAGGCAGAGCTGGGCTTCTCACAGCAGCTGTGACGGGACAGTGAGAGACAATAGGCACAAGCTGAAACAAAGGTGATTCAGACTGGATATGAAGAATCCAATCCAAAGCAATGCAGGTTTTTTTTTCACTACTAGGACAGCCAAGCAGTGTAACAGATTGACAAAAAAAGCCGCAGTGTCTCCATCCTTGCAGGCTGCCAAGATGCACCTGAATAAAGAACTGAGCACCTTGGTCTGACCTCGTGTCTAACCCTGCTTTGAGCAAGGGGTGCTTGGACTACAGACTTCCTGTGTCCGTTTCAGCCTGAATTACCCTGTGACTCTCAGTGAGTACCTGTTCTAAGGAGTTACGGTGGAAGTGGTACCTCTTCACATCTATGAAAGAGCTCTCAGGAAAGAACAGAACATGTTTCCCATTATCTTTGCACTGAGATGAAGGTATTAGGTCAGCAAAATATTTCATTTCTGGATTCTAAAAAGTCTCAAGGGTTTGGGACAAAAGGAGATACTCAGACTTCTGTCACCTAGAAAAAGGGGTAGATGCTTTGATTGACATGCTAATGTCACCATCTCATCAGTCCGTTGGGGCATATATGATTGTAAATTGCTTGGTTGTTTTTTGCTCTGAGTTTTTTTACCATCCTCATCTTCTGTCTAGAGACTTTGATTCAATCTGCTGTTGCAGGTGGAACTGCAGATCTCAAGTTCCCTGTGCTGATTCCCATGTTAGCCTCAGAGCCCTGAGCAAATGTATCCCTATTTCATTACCCTAGCAGCTGCGAAAGGAGGTTATGTTCAGAGACCTGTCCTCTGCAGTCAGTGCAGAGCACTCAGAATGGCTAATTTTGGCTGAAGTGGCAAGAAGATTATTGCTTGGAAGCAAGTGTTATTAGGGAGAAGCTACTTCTCTTTCAGGGCTGGACTTTTCTCAGAGAAGGTAAAAAATTGTGGTTAGACTCAAATTCAAGTCTTGTACTGCCATCGGGGGAGGGTGGGGGAAGCAGTGGTGAGTCTCAGGCGGACTAAATAGTTTTGGGTAAGCACATGGGATAGTTGAGTGATGGAGGATCACAGAATCAGTGAGGATTTGAGTTGGTCAAGCAATTTCCTGAAGCTAGCTGTTCACAGCTTGAAATGTTACAGCCTACAGAAGCAAGAATAGGCTTTGCTTTCTTGCCCTGCAGACCTTATACCCCCTTGCCAAATAATCTTATCAGAAGAAGCTGTACAACAAGCACACATAATTGCACTTCTGTCAGCACTGATGTTTGTCAGGACCAGCTGCCTTCTCCAGTCATTCTCTGTTCTCCTTGCAAAACAGAAATTTAAAAACATACACGAAACAAAGCAACAGAAAGCAATGCAGGTATGTTACTGCTCTAGTCCCCTTAGGCAGAGGATTCGCTCATGCACTCCAGGAGTTCTGAGTGACTAAGCTAAGTTAGAAAGCCAGTGTTAGCAGCAAATGGATCCATTTTAGAAGACCACTGCAGAATGGCTCAGCACTTATTTCTCACAAGCTGTTCCTGAAACAAAATTAAAACCAAAAACAACTTTCCCATTGTAGATAAACATACCAGGTCACAGCTGCTGATATATGTACCAGCTTTAAAGTTTAGAAATTAAATTATTATACTTACTTGTTTGTGGGCAGTGTCTCTGCTGCTACAAGCTTCTGGTGAGGTGTTTGGAGGCAAAGAGACCCGGTCCTTCTAATCACTAACTTTTATAAAATTCTTGGTGGGGCTTTTCACCCCCCCCACCCCTCCCCCGCTCCACTCTTTCATTGTCTCTCCTCCCCCAGAAGCTGTCAGGGGACATGTCACTGCTCAAGGTCAGTCATTGGCTATCAGACCACCACCACACACCTCCAATGGGACTTGGTCATGCTCCTGCTGTTCCTCCCCTTTCCCCTCCCCTGTGTATATAAGGCTATTCATCCAGTAAAACTGAGATGTTTTCCAGTTATTTCAAATTATTTCTCCTCTTTCTGAAACAGATTACAAAGAAGTACAAGAGAAACCATGGAAATTGCTTACAGGTATCTTGGGCACAGCTTTATAATTTATAATTTAGGGTTAGGTCTTCTGAAAGCTTATAATTAGGAAATTGCAGGAAGAAAGAGCAGAAAACAAAATGCAGAAACAATGCAACAGATCCTTAACCAGCATGAGCTGGTATTATTTCAGTGGCTTCCCTAGTGTTACACTGCTTTTCCTCCCTGGAAAGTCTAGCATGAAACCCTATGTTCATTTTCCAGTTGGTATATGGAAAGGCAAAATGTGATGCTACAGTATCAGGTATAATGATAAAGTTTAATGCAAGTTCTGATTTTCTGTAACACAATGTACCTGTGAAAATAATGGTTGTCAGACCACATATGCCCAGTTTGAGGTGCACAGCTGCAAGCCAGGTTTCCCCCCAAATCCCACTGAGATGCCCACCCACATTGTGGTGACATGCAAACTTCTGTTGCTTAGCAGACGTTTTCAGTGAAAAACACTGATGCTGTATAAATGGTGTATCAGTGTTGCAGTTTATATGAATCCACACTACAGTCATTCACCAACTCTAGGCCTATAGGTTTGATTATTTGCTTTAATTTCTTTCTCCCCATCCTGCAGGCCAGTACTCCTGGAGGGAAGTATAGCACAAGGACTGCTGGACAAACATCATACCCTCAGCAACCTTGGACATTGGCACCTTTTTACCACAGAGATCTAGTGTTTGTCTGAAGAATGACGTCATTCCTCCATTTGTTTGGCCGCTGCAGTGACCCTTTGGCCTTTACATGGACAGGTGAGACCCTGATTTCTCTCTCTACAACACTGTCTAGCTCCTTGAGCCTCTCTTGTGCAGCTGCATGCCAAGGGCAGTGCTTGTAGGAAACCTTAGGAGCCTACCAGGCTGCCAGTCAGCAGAGAAACCTGAAGGAGCTGACAATGCAGTCCAGTCAAAGGCCTTGTGCTTGTGTTCCTCTGTTTTCCTCCACGTTGCCCTTCCTGATTGGTGTTGTTTGGAAGCTGTAGCACATTACATGGACATAAAGCCTTCCGTGCTTTACAGTGTTTGCTTTACATTTCATTTCTCCCATCCTAGCAGAAAGACAAACAACATGGTGTATTAAAGATTCTTTATCACTACAGAAGCATCTAATATAGATTAAAAATATTTTTCATTAAATATCTTATCTAAGACTCTCTTGAGACCAAGAAGGTGCCATAATGGTGGTCTTCTTCAAAGTCATAATTTGACTCCTGTTGTTCCTGGTTTGGCTAGAAGCTGACACAGGAGGGAAGTTCTTGGAAGTGCTTTATTCTCAGTCTCATCTGTGATATGGTCTCACAGGTTATTAGAGAAAATCTTTGGGAGTCTTCTTGAAAAAAAAGCAGTGTCAGACATTTAGATACACTTTAAATAATCCCCTTGCAGTCCACTCTTCAGAAGCATATAAATGTATTTCCAGATGGTTAATTGCTGGTATGTGCCTTTCCAGGCCTTCTAACCCTTCGATCCAGCACCCTGAGCACAGGATTACAGGTCCTCACAGATATTTTGAGGACACAGGGGAAAAAAAGTAAATATATAAGATGCTTATCTTTTCATTTAATTTAGGAATAGGAGCCTTTTCAGGACAGAAAATGGAATGAAGTATCCTAGTAGATGATGTCACTGTAAGATGTTAGTATGCAGACCCATCACACTGACCATACTGTGCAGAAATAATAGTGATATTAAAATGACAGTGAAAAAGAGTACGTACTTCCATCACACGTAATCATACTTCGGGGATACTTGGACCTCTTAAAATGAGGTTATAGTAGTATGGTTTCTTCGATAATAATAATAAGAGGGAAAAGCTTGCATCATGAGTGGGTATGCAGTTTGCTTGCATTTACCAAACAACTAACCTGGTCCATAAAAAGCACCAAATCATTGCCTGCGCTAACTATTCCATGCCAAAATTGGTGTATTATCCAAGCTGTAATTCTGTCTCATGGAGGTAGTGTTTGAACTCGGACCTGGTAACTCTTACACCTTTCCAGTGGCCATGCAGGCAGGGCTCCCAGTGGGGGTTCAGTTTCAGAGGCAGAACCATCTCTCCTCTGCCTCCCTGGGTTTCCTCATTCCCCTCAGCTTCTGGCATGGAAAGGAGGACACAGGACAAAGATCCCAGTCAAGGATAAGGACAGTGTGAACATGAAGGGAGGTCAATTACACTAAAGAACAGCTACTCTCAGGTTTTTGTATTCTTAAAAATGGTTATGCAGACTATTGCAGTGATTGCTGATACATTTTTTTAGTGAAGAGTATAATCATTTATTAGAGAAATGATTACTTGCTGGTTTTGAGTTTTGGATGTCTGAGAATTGATTGTTTGAATACATATATAACTAAATACAGGGGGGGTTCTGCACATATTGTGGCTTTTTTATGTGTTCATGAAAGAGTTGATATAAACAGACTTGCAATATAAAAGACTTTATAGCTGTGTTTGAAACATCACTGTAAACAAGATGCATAACTAGTTGCAGAGCTTAAATGTTCATTGTTGTGCCTTTTATAGCATAGAAACAGAAAGCAGTAGTTAGCTATAAAAGAAATTGCTTTGGTTAAAACAAAAGAAATATGTTATGACATAAGTGAATTTTCTATTTGAATGGCTTGGAGACTTTACTGGTGTCAACTTTCTCATCTGAAATTCCCATATAGAAGTTGACAGAAGTATGCATTTAAAAATATTAAGGACCATTGAAAACTCTATTCACATGTGGCATGGGTTATTACTTTGGTCTTAATTTGTGGGTTTACTTTTTGGAATTTAAAAATTTAATTGCTGTCTTTGTTATATCCAGCCTTGCTGTCAAAGGATCTGACAGTTGTGCACTTAAGTTTTAGGTGAAGTCTTGTTGGATAAAATATATTAAAATCAACAGAAAGCTTGTTTTAAAGATAGATAGAAATATTGTAATTGCTTATGATTTTCCAGATTGTGATTTTTATTGTCTGTTTCTAGCAGTATAATTCTCATAATGTTTTGCCTTTAACTGCTCAAATGACCTAGCATCTTAAATAAAAAAATAAGTAAATGGGAGAGAGATAAATTGTAGTACACCTCAGAAAGAATGATGAAAAATAAATAGATGAAGCAACTTCAGAGATTATATGGTCACCACAAGAAAAATTACAAATATACAGCTTCTCTCTGCACTTAAGTAAATTAAATAGTACTTTTGGATGTGGTCTGACCTGTAAAATGGATTGAAATACAATGGAAAAAAACACTGGGAGTTGGAAAGGTGTCCAAGAATAATATGCATCCACATGAAAAACACCTGGCTCTGTTGCCCCATGAGGCTGCTGCCTGCGTGATGGGGTTAAAGTCTAATCTGGGCAGGCTCGAGCAGAGTGGAGTCTGCCTCCTACCCACCTCCCCACACTGTGCTGGATGTTTCCTGTTTTCTGTACTCTGCAGTCTTGCTTAACCATCTCAAAGTCCAGCTTGTTCATCCCTATCTAATCAGAGGTATTGTTTATTAAGTGGTTTGTTTTCCCCAGTCAACTACAGCCCTCACCCCCAATATGAAGAGCCTGGCTGTTTAACCCCACTGGAAGAAATGTCCCTGTATTTTTGGCTCCACAGCAGAGTCTGCAGACAAGTACATTGGGTGGGCTGGGGGATGTTGGGCAGAAGAGACTCAGACCACCAAGGAGATTGCACTTGTGGTTTAGTAATTGTGGCTTAGAATGCAGAACAAAGTAAAGATTACTTTGTTCTGCATTCTGTGCAACTTAAAGCTGGGCTGCAACAATCATCATGACCTGGAATGAAAAACAGGCAAGCATGCAACACTGCTGTTATCAAAACACAGATCTTTGCACTAATTTCTATAGTGTGTATAGCAAACAAGGATACAATTTTCAACTGAGCTGCCTGTGGCAATTTTTCTGGGCGGTGAGAAACAGCTGTAACAGAACATGAAGGTAAATGCTGTAATGACACTGGTCTCTGTACCTTTCTGTTGACATTTTGTTTTTAAATAAAGCAAGAAGGCAAACACCTGGGTTCTATAAAGGCAGACATTTAACTGTTTATTACCTGTTTATTTGAGCAGCACATCCTACCGCAAAAAAAAAAAAAGCACAATTAGGTGCTGCATGATAATATTTGCATGAAGTTTGCAAAATACAAACCACAGCAGATGTCTGAGCTGGACAAGCTTGCTGAAAGGACTATTTGTGGGTGTGGTTTCTGTCCAGGAACACTGGACACCAAGGCAGAAATTTGAAGAGCAAATAGGCACAGCTGCGCAGAGGGTTGCAAACAGAACAGTAAAATATAACTCTTCATCAGCATTTAACAATCACTGTTGTTCCTTGCTTCCTAGCCACCAACATGGCATTCCTAGCTTGCCATGAAGAACAAAGTCATGGAAAGGGACACTAATGTTGCTGACCCTCAGCCTGTAGTTACATGGATAAACTGGCTGATGGGGTGGATTCTCCCAAAGCTGTCAGGACAGATAATCAGTGGAAATGAAGTTACTCCAGAATGCAGACATGCAGTGAAGAAGCACAGGCCATGGAGTACCTAATTCTCTATGCATTTTTGGCAGGTTTATGTTTTACTGAAGATTATTCAGAGCCACATGTTGGGCCCTACCACCTGCTGAATTTGGATACGATGTCTGTAAATCTGGTGTGAAAATACAGAAAATGAAACTCTGACTTTGGAAGAGAAACTACCCATGCCTTTGTAACTACAACTATATGTCACAGTTGAAAAATTACCTTTTTTATTTTGTGAAATATGTACCCTCTCTACACAAAAGCAAGGCAAGGTTAAATTCCACTACTAAGAGCTTCAATTTACTTCATGTCCATGTTAAAATACCTTGATTTTGATTGGAGAAGGGCCTGAGAAACCTGGTCTAATAAGACCTGCTTTGAGTGGGATTGGATCAAAATTATAACATTTGTGCCAATGCATGAACATGGGAGTATCTTTCTTTGTCAAATATGGTAAGGAAAGGTGGATCTGCCAATCAGGAAACCAAACAGCAGGATACAGGAAGAAGAGACTATTAATAGTGTTTTTACAGAAAGGTTTTTTTATTTTGTGGAAAGTTTGCTTGTAAATAAATTTAGTTAAAAAAAAAAACCTAAAAAACCAAAAAACAAACCCCAAACCAACCAAACAAAAAAAAACCAACAAAAAACCAAACCAAAACAAAACAAAAAAAACCCCAAAAAACCCCACCAAACAATTCAGTCTGTATCCAGACAAATTGCTGCTGAAATACCCCATCTGGTGACTCACAGCTCCTCAGCACAGGAAGGAAGGCTTTTCTCTCTTCAAATGCAGTGCCTTCTCAGTAAGACATTGATGCCTACTGAAGTTAGAAAATCCTCATGGGTTTCTAATCTAGTAGAGACCTCTCAGTTTATGCCCTGTGTTCTGCCTGCACCATGCTTATGTTGGACATGCTTTGGAAACAAATGTAGTTTGTGTTTAAGTTAGTAACTCCCCCTGAACTGTCTTGGACAATAAAGCCTTGGGTCCTGCTGATGCCCATCAAGAAAGACTCCTCTTGTGCAAGCAGCAGCTGCTGCATTGAAGTCTCCAAACTATTGGGAATGAACCAACACCCAAGCAAATCCATACTGTTTGTTTAAAAATAGTCACTAAGTTTGTTTTAAAGTGAAAGAAACCAAGCTCTTAAGGCCACATTTCAGGGACATAATATCATTATTTGAACTTCTGTAGTCTGAGATCGAGCAAGTCAGTTCCACTCCCCTCAGAGAAAAGAGAGGGGAAAGGCTTTTGGGTGTTTTAATGCTGCATTTTTAGCCTGAATTGCACAAGAAAATCCAACAAGAATTAAGAATTCATGGTAGCTTCTCTGACTTCTAATTTCTACTAAAACATGGAGCACAGAAAAGAGAAACAAGACTCAATCTGCTTCTGGAAGATTGGAAGGCAGCAGCAGGAGCCCTTTCCTGGGATGCCCCATTGACAGGGTGGGCACTGTGCAAGTTCCTGAGTAACTCAGAACAGCTCCCTGCAGGCTCAGCAAAGCAGCACCTTTGTTGTGAAGGTGAGTTGAGCACTTTAGGAAATTGTTCCAGAAGGACACAAAGAATTTATTAACCTGCTTCTTGCACAAAGGGGTTTGTGCTCAGCTGGTCTATCTGAAACTCTCACACTGGCAAGTTCAAGCCCTGGGCCCTCTGCACATTGTTTGGTCTCACAGTCAAATTCTGTCACCTCTTATGCCATGAAAATTGTCTTCTAGTTTCGAAAGGATGCCTCAAATTCATGTTCTCAATTTTCAGCTACAAGTCTCAGTGAAATTATTGGCATCTCCTGGACTTTTGAAATGTCAAATTAAGTACTACTGGACAAACAGGAAATAACTTTGAGACAAATGGATAAATCATTTCCTCGGATCAAAACATTTATTAACTGGATACAGCTTTCTTTCTTTTCTTTCTTTCTTTCTTTCTTTCTTTCTTTCTTTCTTTCTTTCTTTCTTTCTTTCTTTCTTTCTTTCTTTCTTTCTTTCTTCTTTCTTTCTTTCTTTCTTTCTTTCTTTCTTTCTTTCTTTCTTTCTTTCTTTCTTTCTTTCTTTCTTTCTTTCTTTCTTTCTTTCTTTCTTTCTTTCTTTCTTTCTTTCTTTCTTTCTTTCTTTCTTTCTTTCCTTTCTTTCTTTCCTTTCTTTCTTTCTTTCTTTTCTTCTCTTCCTTCCTTCCTTCCTTCCTTCCTTCCTTCCTTCCTTCCTTCCTTCCTTCCTTCCTTCCTTCCTTCCTTCCTTCCTTCCTTCCTTCCTTCCTTCCTTCCTTCCTTCCTTCCTTCCTTCCGTCTCCTTCTCCTTCTCTCTCCTCCTTTTTCCATTGCCTCTCCCATTTCTTGCTGTGAGGTTTTCTTTGCAAGAGTTAGTATGAAAGGAAAGAACAGAGCACTGTCCTGGATTTGTACAGTACAAAGATCTAAAAGAGAGAAGAGCAAGCACTGAAACATTCACAGCTGAAGATACAGAAACCAGTTGTATGTGCAGGCACTTGGTGGAATAAATGCACAGTGACACTCAAATCCTGACACCCAAACCCCACTGCAGGGAAGCCAGAGGAGAGATTTGCCCACCTGCCAGTATGTGACTACCCTGGCATCTCCAGGGCTTTCAGTGACTGGGAACAAAATGTGGTTTTGCCTGTGCCATTTTCCTGGTGTCCTCTGCCTGGAGGCCAAAAGGCCTCGCCTTTTGAATGGCATGGAACCCACAAGCAGTTTTTACTCACTCTAATTTCCAAAGATGTTCTGAAGGTATCCAGCTGATTACTGGAGATCAAAGCACTGCTGTGATAACCTGCTCTGTGCATCTGTGTTGTGTAACTGATACCCACCATGCTGACAGGAGGAGAGTTGCCATTTGCTTTGGTTTCATCTCTCAAGAGCTTTAGGTATTTCTCACCTACAATCATACTTGTTAAGAGCTTAAGGCATAAATGAACTGGGAGAAGAAAATTCAAAGCAGAGCCTGTCCATTACCAAAAAGAAAACATGAAGCAACTCCCACTGATTAAACTTAACAAAAAATATTTTCTTGGTTCATTCTAAAGCAAGGAGTATGGTTTTAAGAATAGTTCAACCAAAGCCACCTCAAGCTGAATTTGATTCAAAGCTAACTAAAGCTAAAGTGGGCTTTTCATCAGCTATACCAAATTTATGCCTGTTTTCATTCAGTATGAGGTCTCTTGTTATCTGCAAGGTTTTATCTAGCTGTGCCCACAGCCCTGGTGCAAAGTACCTATCCCAGATGCCTAACAACCAGGAGACATGGTCACAGTCAGAGTGGCCCCTTGATGTTCTGTGCTATTGTTGCTTGTTAATGTGAACAGATGACTTTGTTTCCCACAGGCATTTTGCTTTCTGCCAGGAGCAATTGAATGAACCACTCCAGCTGAGCTGTGAATTACAGCTCCAGAATGAGCAAGGATCCTACACAACAACAGCACCTGATCTAATCTTTTCATTGTTTATGTGCTGAGGGAAAATCAAGGTAAATTCATGTTGAATGTCTAAGTTCACTCAGTGGCTGACAAGTCCTCCTGTAATGGACCCAGTACGAGTGATGAACCCAACCAACACAGCAATCGTTGTGTGCAACGTGTGTTGTGTATCAATGAAAATGTGCATTTGTGACCCATCTGTGTGACACCAGTGGCTGTGATTCTGTTTTCCTATCCCTACTCTGAGAGGTAACCTTTAATGAAGCAGCAGAGGTTTTGTTTTTAAGAGCCTGTGGTCAAAAAAAGAAGTGGGAATGGTGGAAGTGCAGATAAGGAGACAGTAATTAAAGAGACTTCAAAACTCTGAAGTATCTAGGCAGAATAGTGTGGTAAAGTTCCTGCAAACCACTTCTGCTTTTGAAGGGTCTGCTCAAAACCACAGCTTTGGAACAGAGACATGTCAGAGGTGAGACCTTAGTAAGGATGGGGAAATAAGGCCTTCCCCTCCTCATTAGCTAATTTGAAACATTGACTTTGTCCAACATTTCTGCTGCCCTAAGGTGAGGATTTTATAACCACTGTCAGGAGAGTAGGCAGGAAAGCTGTGCATGTTGGTGTGAGAGCATTTCTTTGGCAAATGGCTAAGGAGAGTGAGCTGGAATCCTCCACTCCCCTCCCAGGTGGTGTATGCTGATTAGTTCCAAGTTCGTATTAAATAGGGTCTCCATGAACAAAAGCTGATTTTTTAAGAAAACTTGTACTTTTAGAGAGAGTTATTCTTTGCCCGCGTGGAGGCACAGGATGCCCGGTGCAAGCAGCACAGAATCCGAGTTTGCACACTGTCCCTCTTCCCCATGGCAAGTGCCCTGGGCGTTGTTTGTGCGACAAGGCAGGAGCAGCTCACAGCAGTTTTGGGTCGCTGTTCAGTCGGAGGCTGGAGTACATCCCCACGTGCCGCACCAGGTTGGGCTCCACCACGAAGGCATTCTCGCCCTTGCCCTGCAGCAGCGAGTAGAGGGCCGTGTCCTTGGCGAAGCCCCGGCGGCAGCGCAGCCCCCGCAGGTATCCCAAGGCCCGGTGGGCAGAGGCAGCGGGGAAGAGCATGGCAGGCGTGCAGCACTCACTGGCTGGCACCACGTTGTAGAGCGCCGGGTGCAGGCGGCGCAGCTCCAGCCCGTAGTGCCGCCCCACCAACTCTGACAGGGCCATGCTGTACAGGGCGAAGAACGCCACCAGGCACCAGCTGGGGCCCGCCCGCCCCGCAGCCCAGCAGTACACACAGCTCAACACTGGCCCCAGAAACATGCCCAGGCCCAGCCACTCCAGGATCCTCATGGGCTCAGGGTTGAAGTAGCGCTGGAGCCTCTCGGGATGGTACAGCTTGAAGTAGAGAGCATCTCTGAGGTAGGGCTTGGAGAACCGGGCCGAGAAGAGGTGCTGCAAGACAGAAAATATCTCCTCCTCTGGCACAGCATCATCTTCCACAAGGAGGACGTACTCTGGGTTGTACACTAACAGTGACTGCTCCAGGCAGAAGACGTAGTCCTGCTTCTCCTTCTCAAATTGGTTCAGGCTGGGGTCAGGATTCTTTCCAGTTCTGTCATGACTGACCATAGGAAAGAGTCTGCTCAGCAGCCTGACATCCTGATGGCTGCTGGGGTCTGACTCCACATTACAGAGGAGCATTCGGTGGCTCTGGCAACGCGCCCCACATTTCTGGAGGAGGCGGTGGAAGTGGGAGGCCACTTGCAAGACGTAGTGGAAATCATTCCGCCTCTGCACAGTGATAATGGTGATCAGCAGCAAAGGCTGGAAGGTGTCACTGCCAGAGACCTCGGAGGCATTTGGCATCTGCATCTTCTCAAAGTAATGGAGGGCATCCTGGCCCTCCTGCTGGTTCCGCTCCAGGAACTCCCGGCTCATGGGATTCAGGTGCCAGCGCCGCAGGTAGAAGTAAGAGTGGAGGAACCGGTGGCAGATCAAAGGTGCCAGCACACCAAAAGTCACCACAGTCAGAGTGAGGAGATGGATGAAAGGGCTGGACCAACGGCACCACTTCCCACAGAGCTGCCAGGCTCGTTGTAACATAACTGCTGTAGAAAGAGGGCACTCCTGCATTGCTCATGCCCTCAATCCTTCACTTCCAACGCATCCTTCTCCCTGGACTGCAGAATACCACTGGGGCCATTGCTGCCAAACCTGCACAGGTTGTCCAAGCCTAAAAAGGAAGAAAAAATGATAGTTACTGAAAAAGGAACTGACAGAAAAAATATAAAGCAGGGGACTAGTCTCTGAGTAAGCTAAAATGCAAGACCTCTGTGGAACCCTTATGGTGGAGGCATCACAGAATAGTCCTGGAAGGTGAAGGATAGATGAGTCAAAATCAGTTTGCAGCAATGGACCCCTAGGGCTTTTTTAGCACATAGGAGCTCTGATCTAACCGAGTTCAAAAGGACTTTGTGTGTTTGTTACTGTGCTTCAAACACAAGGTAGATGCAAGTCCCTTTCTGTTAAAAGCATAGAACTTACATACTCCTGTCTGGTGATAGTGACATAATAATGTTTAGATCACAGACATAAAACAAAGCCAGATCTCTCGTATCTTAGTATAGCACATATTGGAGAGATAAATTTTTACCTCTTTGGGGCACACATGCTTCCCTCCTGCTGCTCACACACTTCCAAATGTGTTTTTTTTCACTCTCCTCCCCAGAGTGTGAAGCCGTTTAACACAGGCACCAATTTACTTCACTGAGGGCTTGTATATACTACGGGTAATGTGTGTGTCTCCTCCTTACTAGACCCTGTGAAATACATGGGCACAGCAACATTAATATTGTAGTCATTGACTCTTACTTCTTATTTAAAAGTACACAATTTAGAAGTATATGCCTTGAATTTTAAACTGAAGTATTCATATAAATATGTAATTCTTTTGTATATACATTCACTTTGAGCAAATATTCACCTTCACAGCAGTTAGATTTTGCCATATATGCTACTCTGGCTGCCCTGAACACCTCACAGCCTGGCTGACAAAAGTTTACTCAAAATCAGGGCACTTAGGTTGTTCAGATGAATTCTCTTGTGTTAGTAATCTCACTTTTAACCTGCTGTTTCATTCTCCCTTTAATTTCCTGTTCCCTCTCCCTAAGAACTTAGGTACTTATGCTCCCCTCACTGCGATGACTGAATGTGCACTGGGTGTTCAGTGCAGAGTTTCTCCAATTTTTACCATTCTGCCTTCAACAAGTTCTGATCCTCATGTGGTGGTTCCAAAATTTAATTCTTTGTCCCTTTCTGCACTGCTATCTGAAGCAGCCTAAGCAAAGTTGGGTAGATGGAAAGAAATAATGGCTTTTCTCCTCTGTCTCAGAAAAATTGATCTTATATAAGAAAAAACTTGGAGGACATGGAGCAAGGTCTGGCTTTGGGGGTACTTCAGAACTGCCTTCTTTACAGAGGTCACAGATTTTCTTTTTTTTACCATTTGGAGAACTTTTTCCTCTTGCCATATAGGAATGTGACAACCATCTATGAAAGGCCTTTTAACAAGATTAATACAAAATATACAAGAGTTATTCCAAATATTTGTTAGAGAACAGGCAGTTTATGCTGTAAAATCTCAAACCATCCTTAGCTAGACTGTGGCATCAGTGTTTATGCACTCTTAGGGCTCAAGACAAGATACAGAGTAATTAAATTGAAAACACATTTACATGCTGATGCATGAGAATCTGCAGCTTCTTCCCATATAGGTAGTTTTCCTGTCTTGTTACATAATCCTATTGTACAAATGCTGCATTGAATTGCATCAGTGAACCTTGTAAAGGCCTTAAAGGTGATGGCTGTACTTTAGCTGCTAGATCCAAGGCCTGAGGATTCAGGATGTGAAGACCTGAAATCCATCAGGTCTGCAAAGATCTGGCATTTAAATGCATGTATTCATCCAGAATCCTGTGCCTTCCAGCTAACTTGTCACAAGCATTAAGAGAACACAAACATCAGAATCATATTCTACAGCTCACACTGTCAAGCATTCTCTTGATACAAGCATCATTGTAGGCACTGTCTCTGAGCAAGCCTCCAAACTTGAAAGTGAAGATCACAGTGGGAAAAAGAGATGAAAGAAAACTAGAAGGTAGTTTAGTTCTCAGGGAATAAAGTTTACTTTCCATCTTCCAGCTATGCTGAAGCTCTGAGCTACAAAACCTATGAGCTGGCAATGAGATCTTTGATCCATACTGAAGCACTAGTAATAATTCTTTGAGCATTTCTTCATTAATAATTCTTGGAGCAACCTGATTTAGTGAGTGGAATCTGGCAGGGAGGTTGGAAGTAACTGTTCTGTAGGGTCCCTTCCAACCCAAACCATCCTATGATTCTATGATGATAACTTTCACCAAGGAAGAGACCTCCTTCCCTCATGCCATCTTCTACTGAAGAGGAAAAATGCTTGGCCTGTCCTCCCTAGAGGCCAGAAGAGCTGGGGGGACTGCATGAGATGAATCAAAAAAGTTCTCACTTGACCTTTTGCTCTTCTGCAACCCTTGAACTTGTTGTTCCTGCAACCCTTGAACCTGTTGTTCAAGGATTATGTCCCAGGTCCCTGCAGCTGGACTCACACTGAGTCCGAAACCCAACAGTGCTGGCAAAGTGGTGTGGGGACTCCACCTGCTGGTGTCCCAGCTCCCAGCTCAAGGCAGGGTCAATGAGGTGGTGCAGGTGAGCACCAACCTCTCTGAAAGTACTTCCTTTTCCAGCTTCCCCTGGAAATGCACACAGGACTGGACACCACCCATGCAGGTCACTGTGTTGTAATTCCAAGCGTTATGATTTAACTGTGCCTTCACTGCACCAGTAACAGAATTCAAGATTTTAGAGCTTATTATGGCTCTGCAAGTCAGGGAGCCTTGAGAAAACAGTGATCACACACAGTCTCTACTGCTACTCTTCACATCTTTCTCTGCTGCCTGAGCTGTTCACATTCACATGTACAGCCGCACTCTGTTTGTCACTCTATCTGCTGAGGAAAACGGTGTTTTCACTGGGCAGTGAAATAACCACAGAGGCTAATGGTCAGGAGTTTATTAAAACAGGTCAGATACTGCAGTTAATGTGAAAAACAAGCTGAAGAATCTAGGAGAGAGGGGAGAGGCTGACCTCCTTCACACCTTTTGTCTGTAACACTGTGTCACCCATGCACCAAGAATGACACAAGAACAGACGAGACACAGCGTAAAAAGGAAGAAGGCTTTAATGGAAATGAAACTTCAGCCTAAATAGACTGATATGATACATTCTATTTGATTGGTTAGTTAATAAAAACATCTTTCTCATGCACCATCCTTGAGAGGAACAGAAAAGCAAGGTGGAAAAACACCACCTGCAGATTGTTTAGACTAACAAGTTATCACATTCCTGCAACTCTCTAAAATTCTCACAAGCCATAGTGAGAAACAATTGCCATTTCTCTCTCCCTGACCAGGCTGGCATCCACAACACTGGGAACCGGAGAGTTCAAAATATAGATTAATAAATTCTTACTTCTGCAGAGGTGAAGCTTGCTCTTATCTGCAGGATTTAAATCCAGAGTTTCTGCTCAAGCTGTTTTCCACCCATTAGGATGATTCTGACTTCAGAGGAGACACTCCTTTCAGGAGCTTTTTGTACTGTAATTTTCATTTTTTTCCCTTTCTAGGTGGAAAAATGCCTTGTTTGTTTTTCATGCAAGTGGCATTTCAGACAGAAAAAAAATAAGTCTAAAAAGAAAAGGAAGAATCCGATTTGGATTTTATAGTGCCTTAAAAACTCCCATTTTATTAAACCTGAGTAATAACTACTTTGCAATCATAGAAATACTTCCAACAGCGGCCACATTTACACATATTCTGTGTAGAACTGAGCCATTGCTTAAACACAACTAGCAGCTGTGGTGATATAAGGCTGTAGTTTGGCTTGTTTCTTTTCTTAGATTCTCAAGATGAAGATTCCTTCAAGAAACACCTAATTCCAAATCTATAGAGTATTTTCATTAGTCCCCTAATTACTTGGCTGAATTAAACTGTTCAGGAAAATTCACCTCTTTGTACACCAAGGAGAGAAGAAAAATAAGTAATGTACTCTTTGGGTTGCAGAGAACTGTCTGCTGTGCTTGTGCTTTAAAAGAGAAAGCTGAATTTTCTGTCTGCTCCAAACTTCTCCACAGAGAGGTCTTCCTGGAACAAAGTTTTCTATATGTTTCAAAGCTGCAAATTTTTAGGTTCCTGGATAGCTGATGTAAGAGAGACCGTCTGCCTTCTACTGCCTGCACCATGAGACAAAGACACAACTATTCCTGTACAATAACAATATTAAATTACTCCTTTTGGCCTATCTACACATCTTCTCAGTGTCAGTGGGAAAAACCATTTATTTTTGAACATAAAATCAGCTGGATGAAGTCATTTGGTGAGAGCCATAGAGTCATCTTTCTACAAAAGGATGAAAGAGGGAAGCAAAGGTAGGCTCTTGGAAAATGTCATGGAAATGTCATGGGCTGTCACAGTCCCAAATGGGCCACAGCAGTGGTGGGAGTAATGGTGCTCACACAAGTGGTCCTTTACACTTTTGATCCTATAGCAGCACTCAAGATGAAACCTTTGTGTGAAAAGCTTTTCTACACTCCAGCCTAACACCATGCAGAAAAGTTGCCAGCCCAGGACCAGCTCCTCTGCTGATGAATCCTCTCTGGCAGGAGAGGGCCTTTGTGGTGCTGTGACGAACATCCTGCTTGAATCTGAGGAAGCCAATGTAAGCTTCCCAAGGAGCCATAGAGATCTCCTGTAACATACAGGCATGCTGACAGGGGATGTACATATATCCTCAAATTCCAAAACCTGAGGTCTCTGCCATGAGCTGATCCCTATTACTGGGCCAGATGGCCAGCTTTTCTTATCTGCAATTCCTCTTGTTTCTGACAGCTTTTAGTAGGTCAGGTACCAGATAATATTTCTGCAATGTGTCAGGCCCCCCTAGACAACAGCAGAAGCCAAGCATCCACAGATCTGATTGTTGCACTTACATGCCAAACTGGGAGTTGGGATCCCTAAAAAATACAAACCATCCCAGCAAGAGCTGTGCTGCTAAAAACATTCAGAGGAACCTTAATGGTAGGAGACCAGTAGTTGTTATTTGACTGCATTTTACTGGCAGGTACCAAATATATCTCTCACCTCCTCAACCACTGCTGAAAGGAATTGTTCTTTTGTTGTTCATAAATGATGAGTGGCATCTGTCATCTTATCATCAGATAAGCCAGGCAAAGATCAGGGCTGCTGCACATAAGCTCTCAGCTCCCTTAGAACTTAGAACCTTTGTTTCTTATGGTCTGTGTACTGTTACAGTTAACGGATTAATGACAGCTTGAAGTGTAAGAGAAGTGGCTAGAGAGGGGCAATGGACTTGGCTCTTAGGAAAAGTAATGTGGTGCATGAGATAGAAATTAAAGGCGCTGCTGTCTGTTTTGATCTGCCATTCCTCATGGCCTGTCAGTGAATGTACAGACCTCTTTGGTCCAAGGAAATGGAATTTAAGCACTATTGGAATAGTAAAAATGCACAAATATGCAGGGTGTAATCGTGACCAATTAGGTAACACCAGAAACTGCAGAGTTAAAACTTGAATGTAAATTTCATCATAGGCTGGCTTGCTATTCTCATCAGACTGTAGTTAACTTTTACAGGATGTTCATAAATCCCTTGAAATCCATGATGCACAGTTTGAAAGCTACTGATATAAGAAAGGAGGGACATAGCTGTGGCAGGTGAGTGACATTTTGCCCATTTTGTTTGAATTAAGAGGATAAACTAAGCCACCAGTGAAAGATGCTGTGAACTCAATATAAATTACTTACACTTATTTCCCCTCTGTCTTGTTTCTCATGTATATTAATTTTCCTCTGTCACATAAACCTGAATGGAGCCCATTTGCCCTGGCTGCCTCTCTGCAGGGCAATCCCATGGGAAAGCAATACTCCCTCTGTTGCTACCCAGCAATCAGATCAGATGAAGTGGCAGATGAGAGCAGCCTAAGAAGAGTTCTGCAAGGTAATAGCTAAACACAGAGACTTAAGGCAATGACTTTGGAGAGCTGTCTGTGATTTTGGTTGAGGTGACAGAGGGTTGAGATGCCCAAAGAGAACCAGGGCTTGTGATCACAAGAGTCAATGTGTCTATAGAGGAACTAATCAATCCTGGTGTGGTGGCCTGTAGCAAACCTTCACAGTAAAGTCACCTGTCCCTGTCCTCCCTTAATCCTGATTCATCATCTGTTGGACAGCTCCTCATCCATCCCTGGGCAGAGCTCCACTCACTCCAGCTGGTCACTGACATAAGGGGTGACCCCTCCTCAACTCCTCCACCTGCCCTTGCTAAAGACTGTGTATCCTTCCATTCCACCAGTGCAGTGGAATGCAGGAGCCACTCCAGCACATTGCCATGATGCCAAGGAGCTGGCAGCCCTGCAGGTCTGCCTGTGAGTCCAGCTCACCGTTTTTATCTCCCATGCCTTTGCACAGAGGCAGGTAAATTGAACTCTGATGAAGGCAAAGGAGTGGCTGGAGTGGCTGGAATGCCTTTGTCCTGCCATTCAGGTGCTCTCCTGCTGATCTGTGACTCATCCCCATGTTCTGGGCCACTCTTGCTAGCCCTGGCTTCAAACTGAAAGGTTTAAAGTTCCCCTCCCACAGGAGTTTTAAATTAAAGCCCTCACCAACTTGGTGAGCTTGTCACTGAAATTCCCTCTCTGTCCTCAGAAGGACCCCAGCAGTCCCAATAGGTTTCTGCAAGTACATCCTTTGTAGGTTCATGACATTTATATATCCAGCTACAGCTTTAGGTGTAGAAGTGTAGTAAGTAGAAGAGTCTAATCATGATTTATATCATTGTTGAAATCGGAAACTAAAACATGGGTCATTAATTACCATTTCATTACAGCTTAATTATTAATTATTGTTAAATCATTGTTAAACTATAATTGAATTATTTTTAATCATCATTTGCAATTTATTTATCATTAAATATAATTTGATCATCATCTAATAATTAATAAAACCTTTTTGTTATCCCCACAATGATGAATTCTCTTAAAAATTCACCTGTGCCAGTAGAGTTGTGGGTGTAAGAATGGGGGGAGAGGGAGAGAAAAGGAAACAAATGTTTTCTTTAGTGTTAGCAGTGATGGCTGCTAACACTGCAGATGTTGTAGCTTTACTGTTGTTTATGACTGTGAAGAATGAAGCACAGGAATAAGGAAATAGAATATTTGTAAACAAAGGCTTTTGATGACAAAGCTGTAAATTTCCAGTTGTGACAGGTCTATGTAACAGTCAAAATGCAAAACTGTATGAGACAACAGAATATTGTGATTCAAACCTCTCTTTGAAAGAAAAATGTTCCATCATATTGATAAGAAGCGTTCCTCTTTGAAGAGACTCTCTACTATTGTAAAACTACTGATTTCTCTGTATTCACTACTTGTGCCTGGGAAATATCCACCCTCTTCCTCCCCTCCCCCAAACAACGCATGAACCAGAGTGTTTATCCTGCACAGGAAGGCGTGGTGAATGGAATGCCCTGGTTCTGGGGTATCCTGATGATCTGCTTGAGCCCCAAGGGGAGAAAATGAGGTAAATGCAGGAGCTGAAAAAAAAATCTGTTGTACAAGTAGTAATGCCCTTGTTGGACAGGCAAGAAATCAGCAGGTTTCTCATGTGCAGGAGGGTGCTCCTCCTGGCTTTTGTGCTTGCAAATGCTTGCTGAACTGATGTGCCCTAGTGGTTGTACGTAAATTATTTTCTCAGTGACTGCAGGAGAGAAGCCAGCCCAGGAACCTGTAGTGTACATCAGCACCGTTTCATGTTTTGCTGCATCACAGCACAACTGCAGATTTTCTCAACAGCCTTTGATTCTAAATGTCAGCGACTTCGGCCATTGGGTTTCTTAGCTGCTCCTCGTTCCCTTCGGGAGAGCTGCCAGGTAGCACAAGGTGACCCGTAAAGCACCGGGATTAATAGCAGTTACCTCAGTGGGGATGGTCAAAGAGGAAAGGGCGTTAGGTAAGAAAAGCTGGTCCCACCTCCACTCTGCCCTCCTTGCAAGACACACACAGAAGGCATTTCAGTGTGCCCAGTCCTCAGTTCCTTGTCCGGATTTCCGACTAGAGAAATTCTGGCCACGCTTTTACCTCGGGCGAGGGCTTCTCTGGGCGGCACAGCGCAGGGCAGAAGCTGGCTGGCTTCTCACCGTTCCCTTAGGAGTTCCACTCACCTCTCCTAAGGGAGGGGCCGTTTCTTTAGGCGCGGCCAGGCTCCGGCTACTTGTCCTCCCTCGTCACCGTGTACAGGCACATCCCCGGAGCGAGCGCAGAAACATCTCCTCGATCCCTGGAGGGTTTCCACCTCCCTGCTGGCTCGGACGCCGCAGCCACAGCAGCCAAGCCCAGCCCTGATGAGCAGTTGTGGCTGCTCATCAGCCATAACTTCGTGGCCCCCTTTCCCCGTTCCCCCAGCCTCGGTGCACCGCCCGCCCCCTTATCCCCACAGGGGAAGGGGAAGCATCCCTCCGGGACAGCCCGATCCCAGCGGGCCATTTACCAATCCGAGCCGGGAGAGTTACCCGATCCGCTGAACATCCCCGCGCGGCCGCTCCCGCCTCCATCCCTCCCGCAGCTCCGGTCCCGCCAGGATCCTGCTCTCGGCGTGTGGCTCACTTCTCTTCCGCGAGTTTCTCTCCTCCCTCTCGAGCGCTGAGGGTGGGATTAAAGGCATCAAATACCAAACATGTGACTCCGCCAGCACTGGGATGTTCAGGGGAGGAGGGGAAGGGGAGATGGCCGGAGGGGGCCGCCGCACACCGGGGAGAGGACCGGACCCTGGAAGCAGGCTCGGGAGTAAATCCTGAGCCCCAGGGGGACGCCCGGGGCGAGGCGGCTGCGCAGCCGGAGCTCCTCATTCCTGCTCTGCGGTCCCCGAACGCTCCTTCAGGAGCGGCGGGACAACCGCAGGGACAGCGCAGGTCCCCCGGCCCTCCCCGGTTCAGGGTGTCACATCTGCCCGGTGTCACCACAGCCGCGTGTCACCTTTAGTGGTGTCACTTCTGGCAGGTGTCACCTTTGCCGGGTGTCTTCTCTGCCCGCGCCTCTGGGGCACTGCCCTCCCACATTGGGACCTGCTGGATGCTCCGGACCCCTTGCCTCACTCCCAGGAGGGGAGAGGATCACCGGGGCCCCGCAAACTCGAGCCAAGAGCCAAGAGTCACCAGCAGGTTCTTTATGTGCGTGTCCTGACAGGTAAAAGCTTTCACAGTCTGCAGCAACGTCTTCACAGGTGTATTGGCTGAAGTGGGGAGGCTCATCACCTACAAAATTATTTATATCACACTGTTCAGGATTCAAACATTTTATCAAACTGCCCCAAAACTTGCCTCTGACCAGTTCACTCCCCCTCCCTCCCACCCACCAGTGCTTTTCTCTGTGTTCCATTACCCTGTTCTTATCATCCACATCCTTCAGCCCTGTAACCATAATACCTAATTAACTGGTTACCTGAAAGATGCTTCAGGGAAAGTTTACTATCTGTTATTGTAGCAACTCCTTCGGTTTGTGCCTGCAGCTCCAGAAAATGCAAGTGCATGTATTTAGGCTAAAATATTTTCAGGCTCAGACCTCTCTTATATCTTAGAAGAATCTTAGGGGAAAAAAAAAAAAAACAAACCTACAAAGAAAAAAATCCCTTAGGCCCTTTCAGCAAAATACCATGTTCTCTTAAGCACACCTAGAATTTTGCTAGTGTCCAGTACTGTAATCAGAAGATTCTAGAATGATATATGTTTATAACTTTAACATCACAATTTCTATTATTCCCGCTTATAAGCATGGTGAACAAAAGAAATCAGCTTTGCATGCCTGTGATCCTTATTCTTCCTCCTGACAAAAGCTGTTCCACATCTAGGGCTTTTTATTGCAGAGATAACATGGAAGAAGGTGGGAAAGCCAGAGGAACAGTAATACCCAAAATAAACAACACATTCAAACACCACAGTTGGGTTCCTGTAGTGACTTCCTAAGAATGGGTTAGGTATGCTGGAAGGTCCACCAGCTTACTAAGATGCATGTTACTCTCTCAAAATAATAAAGAAATCGTAGTTTCTCAGGTGATTTGCTTTCCCGAATCCCTCTGTCTTGGTTTGAAAAGACAGGTGTCTGCTAAGGAAGGCAGGAGCCTCCCCTGAAATTGAAAATGTAAACCTCCTTCCTCCAAATTATTATAATTTTGAAATTAAGGGGCTCTCAGGCAAAGATATGGGAGCAGGAATAACAGTTCTTTATTAGGGAAGAAAATTAAAAAAAAAAAAAAAAAAAAAAAGAAAACAACACAGTGATACAATACAAAACAACACTGGCAGAGTCAGAATATGACCTGACACCCTTTTGGTCAGCGTGTTGGTAGCAGTCTGATTAAATGTTGGCTGCAGTCCTCCTGGAGTGGCGGGTGTGGTTCTGTTGAAGCAGTGATCCTGTAGAAGGGTGTAGTCTTCCTCTGAAGGTCCAGTGGTGGTATAGATGGGCCTGGTCTTCCTCTGGGGATCCAGTGGGAAAGGGTCACTCCTCCAGAAATCCAATAGAAAAGGCTGGCTGTGGTCTTCCAGATCTCAGATTATATCCTGCTAAGAATGATTGGCTCCTTCCTCTGGGCAAAACATCTCCCAGTGGGATCATGTAATTTTATCAGTCAGGCAGTAACACTCATTGGCCCATTAACAGAAGATATTTCCCAGGGGAGGATTGGTTGTGGAAGAGATAAAGAAAACTGCACAATTAACAGAATGTAACTGCTCCACAGATTGGAATAGAATACACACACTCATTTCCAACCTAAGACAGCCTCTTGCTGACCACTTCTGCCTTTTTTTCTGTTTTTAATGACAGTGATTTATACTCTACCTTCCACTTAAATGCTCTCATGCCTTCAGAAGTTGATGCACAGAAAGCACAGCAGATCCTGGAACAGAGCAGAGAAAAAAGAGAGTTTTGGAGGTTGGAAAAAAGTATACATTCCTAGGAGATGTGTTACTATGTTCTTCCCAGGATAAGAGTTGTAGAATTTTTAAAAATAAACAAAAAAATTTTCCAATTCTGTGTCAATGTGCATGTAGGAGAGTGATTATTGAGCAGCACCAGCAGAAACACTTACCACACTGCACCCAGGATAACATTTTGGATGATGTTTTAGTCAGCAGAATTAATTACAAGAGGCAATTTAAAAAAAAAAAAAAAAAAAAAAAAGAATGTCCCAGAAGGTGTTTTCTTTGGGAATAAATATTTAGGTAATTGTAATTTTGTGTGACTTCTATGCAGTCTTCCCAGCTCCCTCTTTGCTCACTTGCATGCTTTTCAGGGTACGCTTGACTTTCATCCTTAAACAATTATTTCTTTGAAACAGCTTCTGTTAGACCCAAAAGACTGAGGGAGAAGAGCCTGAAGTGATTTTGGGGCAGTGGCACCAGTGGCACAGAATGACAGTGGAAGCCTGTAATTCCTGACTACTCATCTGTAGCAGCCAGAGGCCCTGCAAGTCCCTGGCGGTCACTTGCCTAGAATAAGAAATACCTAGTCATAATGACTGGACCAAAGTAGCCCCTCTTCTACCTTCGGACCCTTGTTATCTCTCTGTAAGACCATAGGTCATATTTGCCTCAACCCTTACTATTGGACCATTTCCCAAAACCCCTACACCCTATATAAACACGCATTTCTGCACTGTTCAGCAGAAGAGCTGTCACTGAAACCCCTCGCAGGAGCTGCCAATAAAAATACCACTGTGGAACCTCATACAGCCTTCTCCTCTCTCTCCCTGCGTCTGCCAGGGCACCTTAGCAAGCAAAGAGCTGAATTCACCAAAGAGCCGATCTCACTTAAGAGCTGAGCTGCTTGCTAAGATTGCCTGCATTTGGGAGCCTGCCTGAGGGACCTGGACAGGTTGTGCTTA